GTAATTAATATAAGCCTCTGTGTGTCTATTTGAGTCTGAGTGGCCGTGGGACTGGGCAGGACACAGGAAGACTTCTGACTACACAATCTATTGCAAATAACTCACTCTGCTTTCACAGTGTTATTTGTTATAAATTTTTATAATAACCAAATAAAATGCAGGTTTTCTGGCTGACATACATAAACCTTTAGTCACTGTTTCGCTTGAAAAAGTTCAAAGAATTTGAGTTTTGCCCGCCTGGTGTCACAGAGCTATAATCCCAGCTTTTGGGGACGCTGAAGGAGGGATTACAAGTCCAAGGCTGCTTAGGCTGTAGAGTGAATTTGGGCTCAGCCTGGACAACTCAGTGAGACCCTGTTATCCCAAATACAAAAGGTAAAAAGATAGGTGGATAGCTGTAGCTCAGGGTTAGCTCTTGCCCAGCATGTACAAGGCCATGGGTTCAGTCCTACCCACGAGAATGCTACTAAATATTCAGTTCTTATACATCCTGCATAAGAAAGAATTCAGTTGGAAAAATGTGTAAATGTTCTCTTAGAAGTATTCTGAAAGTCTTTGCTAAGAAGGAACTTATTGGACTAGTGATATGTCTCCATGGTAGAGTCTTTATCTAGCATGTTGAAGCTTTGGCTAGATCCCCAGCACTGCAAAAGTTAATAATAATAATAATAATAATAATAATAATAATAATAACAACAACAACAACAAAACATGTTTAGGATGTTTCAATGGCCTTTGTTTGAAACTTGTCATGTGATCTCCTTATGTTCTGGTGTGTCCTGACCAGTCCTTAGAGGACATCAGGAGGCCAGCGTATCCAGTGGATTGGGGAAGAGAAGGAAGGTTGGGAAATGAAGCCAGAGCCGTAACTGGAGAGAAGTGGGTGGCCTAGTCGTGCAGGGCGGTGCAAGCCTTCATTGGAAACTTGGTATCTCCAGAAATTGAGCTGAGCAGAGCAGACACAGCTTCAGCACGTCCATATTACATCTGTGCTTGAAACGGATTCTCCTATAAGCCGCTTCTCACCTGCTTCACATTCTCTCATATCCTCGGCCGCAGCTGAAATTCCTGGGATGCATTTGCTGAAAAGAGTCCAGATGTATCTTCTCACTGATCTGTCAGGGACGTCCTCCCTTGTCAAAGTCATCATTTGATGGACTAGTTTAAGTTGCACACTTTGTAAAGGAAGGTGCTTGGCAGAGTTCTTGCCTCTGCCCTGAATGTCCGGAGTGGTATATGTTCCGGTTGCCTGTGGTTAGGACTTGGCTCTGTTCCCAGCATGGATCTAGTGAAGCATTTCATTTTCTTTGTCTTCTCCCTCCCTTGTGGATGATGTCCTGTATAGGAGATAGCAATAAAGCATCTCCCCTGACAGGTGGCATTAGGAGCCTACAGGGGCATTCCACTCTGTTCCACCCTGCCAGGACTCCCATCCGGAGGAGCAAACAGTGCTGTCCACCAGGCATCCTTCCATGGTCCTGTTGTTGTTGTATTTATTAATGAGTTCTTTTCATCTCTGTGTATGGGTGTTTTGCCTACACGTGGGTATGTACAACAGGCACATGCCTGATTCCTGCAAAGGTCAGAGGAGGGTGTGAGACCCCCTGAACTGGAGTTGTAGATGGTTGGGAACTGTTGTGTTGGTGCTTGGAATCCAAACCAGGTTCTCTAGAAGTGCTCTTATCCCTGAGCCCATCCATAGTTCCTTTTAATGCACGGATATCTCCAAGCCCAGAGCTTCAAGTCCTTCTAAGGGCTCTTCTTAATTAGCCTGCCCCTCCCTCCCCCCCCCCCGACTCCCTTTCTGTTTCTGTTTTGTCTTATGATATACCATTGTCCTTTCTTGCCATCTCTAGTGTATTTTTCTCAGACTATTGTTCTGGCCTCTAAAGTGTCCACACAAGTAGCTCTAAGGCCACCCTTACCTAGTGGGTGGATTTTCAGTGGGTGGCCTGGGACCTCCTGTGATCTCTGAGTATGCCTGACATATTGTTTTTTTTTTTTTTTTTCCATCCGGAGAGGATTTTGATGTAACAAATTGGGCACGTTGGGAGACTGGATTTAAAAAAAATGCTAGGTTTTACAATTCATGAGGAAGTTTGTTGGTGCTTTCTCAAAAGATGTGAAAAAATTGATGATCTGTTTGGTAAACTCAAAGGTGAAAACCCCCCTCCACTCTGCCATGGGCTTCAGATCTCCATTATAGTCAGTGTTCAATGTCAGGGTGAGAGTCCAGTAACCCTCTACCACATGCTGTAAATCACGACTGTTCTGCAGAGCCCTGCAGTCTCTGCTGAAGATGTGTGCCTTGCCCAGACATAGAACAACAGTCTTTATTCAAATCTTAGCTTTCTTCAAATCTCTAACTAGATTGAATGTCCAATTCCTGAATGCAGCCACAACTGAGCCTGGTTTTTTGTGACCCACTGTTGAGGCATAGTTATTTTCAATTTGTTTTCAAGGGGTAAATTGAAAATCATCTTATGTTTATATTCCCATCTCCCCCTCCAAAATATGGAGAGGAGATAGAATTATTTTGAAGCAAAGGAATATTTGTAAGCATGGCTTTTCATTTATCTGACACAGACTATCATGGGACTCTTTCTTCATAAATTTTGTGTCTATTTTTGAGTCCCCTAAGTTGGTTAGCACTATAGTGGGGCCTTTGAAGAAGTTTTGCTTGTTTGTTTTTACTATATCTCTAGAACCGGGGGGGGGGAATCTTAGAGATATTCGTGTAGATATAGAAGCATTTCAAAATCCAAAATATATTTGAAAATGTTTAATATGCTTGGTCGTATTTTCTACATATCATTATGGTAAAAGATAATTTATTGTAGGTTTTCTGTAAGTCCAGCTTATATATAGGGAAAAATGAATCTTTTATAAATAATTTTCACACCCATCTCTGTCTCTGTTTTTGCGTTTTCATGGTATTTTGAGAGTAGAGCTAAAAATATTCTTTATAATTACGTGGTAAGTGGATTCATTAAATCTCTAGTCCTTTGTCTTTTTGGTTTGTGCTGTAGTTTCCTTCCTAGAGAAGTAGTATACACTCCTAGACTAAAGCAGGAATTTTATTCCTGGTAGCAAGACAAATGGGAAGGAGATGAGAACAGGGAACAGGCAAGGAGCAGGGCAGATTCGTGGAAGCTGATGTGTTTCCAGGATGAGGAGAAGGAAGGCCCCCTCTATAGGGAGAGGTCAAAGGTTAAGGTGAGAGAAGGTGAAGGATTGGGGGGGGGGATTGGATCAACAACACTGTCCATGAGGGGAGTGGAACCTTGAACAAGAAGGAAACCAGGATGCATGAACATACATACATATACTACTCCCTGTCCTGTGTTTTCCAAGTGAGGAAGAGTTAAAGTCAATTTGTAAAAATCTGAGAATTCCCCAGGTGGTGGTGGTGCACGCCTATAATCCCAGCTCTGGGGAGGCAGAAGCAGGCAGATCTCTGTGAGTTTGAGGCCAGCCTGGTCTACAAAGTGAATTCCAGGACAGCCACAGTGGGTACACAGAGAATCCCTGTCTCGAAAAAAAAAAAAAAAGAGAGAATTCCTTTCCTCTCCCCATCTAAGCAGGTCTGATTGTTTAAAAAAAAAAAAAAAAAAAAAAAAGTGAAGTAACTACCCTTGTCTAGTCTAGAGCATTGATGCAAGCCCATTATTCCTGGGCATGCCAGTAATGATGAGTCTAGATCACTAGTGGGTCTTATGGTGAATATACCCATCAGGAATAATGTTTATCTGCAGTTAACAGACACAACCACGGTGTCTTAGCCAAACAGGAACTCCCTAGGTAGCAGGAAGCCTAAATACAGATGGTTTCAGAACTCTCCAAACTGTCAAACTGTTTCTGGTTCCTTGCTCTGCTAATGTGTGGCTCTCATCAAAGAGAATTGCAGAGGAACAAGCAAAAGGATGCTGAGCCCTTCCCTGTCCACTTCAAACCAGAAAAATCTTACCTGAGGGTCCCGCCGATGAGCTCTCACTTCAGTCTTACTGACCAGATCTAGGCTACAGGCAGCTTTCTTTAGCTGCAAAGGATGGTGAAGATGTGATTATTTTTAACCAGGCACAACTGTTGCCTTGAACAAAATTGGAATTAAGCTGGCAAAGAAGTTCAGTGGCCAGGCAGCAAGCAGTCTGCCCCAGGCACCGTATACACCATTTAAACCCAATGTGTACTGATTGACTGAGCACCTGCTACATAAACAGCTGGATCACATTTTGTGATGGAGTCGGTTGTCTGATGGACTGCCCAGGAGAGCAAGTGATGTCCCAGATGGGACATGCTTTCCGATTCCTAAGAATCGTTCTTAGGAACTGTGGTCTTTCTTGCCCTTCCATCCTAAAGAATCATTGACTTACAATGTGATAAAGTCAAATGACATGCCAAGACCAGCCTGGGAGATGCTGTCCACTGGCCTGTTCTGTGGGCCCCTCTTGGTTCTGCTTCTTACTGTTCTTAGATTAGCTCAAGCTTCGCCGCCTTTGTCCTGGAAGATGGGCCGACTTTCTGGAGCCTCTTAGCAGTGTTCCCGCCAAGCTGTGCTGCAGCCCGGCTCAGCTCCCCGTCCTTGAGTCCTTGGTTCACCCACCTGGAGTTCTGTTGAATTCTCCCGGTTTCGCTCTTTTCTACTTTTGATAAAGATTTCGTAGATGGGAGTTTGCCTCACCCCTTCTTACAACTCAGCTCAGCCCTGAGGCTGCAGTAGCTCCCCACTTTGTGCTTTGTAGTCTTATCTTTTGGCAGCACCCTGGCCAGACCCAAAGGTGCCATCACCTTTCCTGTTATACCTCCAGTTTCCTCAAATAGATGCAAATGTGGAAACTCGGGGTGATAATGTGCAGGAGGCGGCCATTAGAAACAATGTTCACTGATGTACGCCCTCTTTATTACCTTCTTTCTACTGATTTTAGAACTTGTGTTGATCTTTCAGCAAAGAAAAGGCAGGTTGTAATTAAGCTAAACGTGTTTCCTTGGTCTTTTACCAGATGAGAATTCTCCAGCCAACTTCTGGGATTCTAAAAACAGGGGTGTGACTGGAACCCAAAAAGGACAGATTGTATGGAGAATTGAGCCTGGACCCTACTTCATGGAACGTAAGTAGTCAATGAGCTTGATACAATCTTAAAATTGTACATGTGTGTTGAATGTATAGAACCGTATCTGAATGTTATTTTGGACTCTTATTTATATATTTATGTCATGAAGCTCCATACTAGGAAATACGTTGTTTTAGAAGATGCTCATTGGAGATTGAGCATTTAATATTGGGCAATTAATATTGACTTTATTGACTTTAGGAATCAGAAAGGACAGTTCAATGTTTTGATTAACTTAAGAATTCTGTTTGCTTTGGGTATCCCTCATTTCTTACTGACAGAAGGTTACCTTTTGTGCATGCAGGTCAACAGAGTATGGATAAGGTAGTCTGGGGCATACTTCCACCAATGTCAAATACTAACAATCAGAAACTGGATGCAGAGAATCAACCATTATCCAATTAACCCCGTGCTGTATTTGTAAATACAGATGTTTATATAATACAAAGTTCATTAGAGATACCACATATGTTTATTTTTAGTAAAGTGTGACAGGGTGTGTGTGTTTATATTCACCACTATATTCCTGAGTATACAGGAATTCCCGGGGTATTTTTATGGAATGGAAAGAAAGCAGGTAAATAAAATAGGATTTGTCCTTTGCTAGTTTACTAGTCAGTCCAGGTCAATTTGAATATCTTCAGAAGTTTTTTTTTTTTTTTTTAACGTATGGGGAAACATGGGCTTTTGAGACTTTTTCAATAACGTTGTGTTCTAAGAATTAAAATTTCTACATGCAAAGGATTTATTGTAAGTCATTCTGTGAATACTAGAAATAAAAGGACTTATCGAGACAACATATAAAGTGCAGTTTGAACAGATGGGAACTTGATGCAAACATCTTTAGTGAAGCTTCTAAAACATCTGTAATATAAAATGTTATTTTAGAAAACCAGCTTCTCTGACCTTAATCAGCGTCAAAGGTATGGGGTAGTTTCTTCCTCCGTCCTTTCTGCTGGGTCAGCGCTCAGTAGCCTCCTCTCGTCCTGCTTCTGCCCCGTAAGGTGTGTCCTGTTTCACAGTCCGATGCTCTGGTCATATTGTCTGTGTAAGCCTTGTCAACACAAGAAACACAGCTGTGACCTCAAAGGGATAAGAGGTCATTTATTTTGGAGACAAGTATGGTGGACTATGGCCCTGGCACCCAGATTCAGGTTGGCCCAGATCCTATATCCCAACATGGTAACTGTGAAATTTTATCATAACAGAATGAGGAAAATCATAACCAAGACAGTCTTTCTTCCTTCTTTCTGTTCATTCATTCATTCATTCATTCGTTTGCTATTTTTCCTTTGGTTGAAAATTTAGAATTTTTTTCTACATAATACAACATGATATGGTTTCCCCTCCTTCTACTCTTCCCAGTTCCTCCCCACCTCCCCTTCTATCCTGATCCACCATCTTTTTGTCTCTCATTAGAAAACCAAAAGCATCCAAGAAATAATAATAAAATATATAATTTGTGTAATATAAGAGGATAAAACAAAAGCTAACACACCAGAATAGGACAAAACAAATAAACAGGAGAAGACCCAAGAGAAAGCATAAGAAACAGGCAGAGAAACACTCATTGGCACATTCAGAAATCCTATACAAACACTAAACTGAAAGCCATAATGTATATGCAAAGGACCTGTAGGGTTAAAAAGAGAGAAGAAAAAATCTATGAATGAAATAAAAATAAACTGTATGGTAAAATTAAAACAAACACAAAAAGCGAAAAGCCCTGGCATGACGTTATGAGACAAGGAACCTCCAAAGACACCGTCCAGCTCGCTTCTTTTGGCCATCCGCTGCTGGGCATGCAGCCTGTCTCTAAGAGAAGTTTGTTTCCCCCATTTCCAAGTGTGGTGCTGGACTCATCACATGACAGAAACGTGGGGAAATAAGTCCCTTGCACTCTCTGGCACAGTGGTGGCCATATATATTGCTGGATGCATAGTAAAATCTTTTGATTGGTGGTCCTAAATTGTGAGTTAATGGGCGGTTAATGAATGTATATAAAAGGAGTTGATACTTTGGCCCATGATGGAACTTTTTGGGGTTTAATATTTGGTCATTGACAGGAAGGGCGTGACAATATAAATTCTCAGAGGAGAATTTTACTTGTATGATTCTCTTAAAGTGAGCAAGTCAAATACTTCCCAGGATGCTGTTTGGAATGGTCAGGAAAGGCAAGGGTAAATTAATGTACTTGGGAAAAATACATGGAACAGCCCCATTTTAACAATCCTTGTAAGCGGAAGTTTCTGTCCCACCAGCAACTCCCAAATAATTGACTTGGAGGCTTAATACTACTTACAAATACTCAGCTAGTAGCTCAGGCTTATTACTGACTAGCTCTTACACTTAAATTAACCCATAATTCGTATCTATGTTTAGCCATGTGGCTTAGTACCTTTTCTGAAAACAGCATTCTCATCTTGCTTCCTCTGTGTCTGGAGACTCTCTCACTCTGCCCTCCTTCCCATCATCCTCAGTTTGGCTTTCCCACCTGATTTCCTGCCCAGCTACTGGCCAATCAGCATTTTATTAAGACAGTTTGAGTGACAAATCTTTAAAGTGTATAAGAGGATTATTTCACAGCATTCCCCCCTTTTTGTCTAATTAAAAAGGAAGATTTTAACTTTAACACAGTAAAATTATATAAAACAAAAACAGTTACTAAGTAAGAATTACTGTAACATTAATCTATTTGCATTTGGCAAAGTTAGAGAAAATGCTTAATTATTTTTCTTATTTTGGTCAGTCTGAAGTTTTGTATCTAATTTATCTTTTATTATAACTAGAGAAAACTGTAACTATAAGTAACTGAGATTAGCAGTTGTTTTTTGGATTAAAGTACATTCAATAGTCTACCCTTTTTTCATCATAATAATCTATCCTTTTCCCCATCATTTCTATATCATATCCCCCTTTCTTCTTTAGAAGGAAATTGACTATGCCAAAAACAATTTATAACCAGCCCCCTAAACAAAGACAAACATCTATAACCTATTTTGAGGGAATGTGGGCATAGTTTTCTAGACTACTTCCTGTTGATTGGGAGCACTGGTAATCTTTTTGGGACCCTGAGAAAATTTAGGATAATTGTTAAGTCTTGGCTGTAGTATTCTGTGAGGTTTGATCATCTCAATCAGTAGCCTTGAAGCTGTTCTGGATGCTAGATCATCTTGGCCATCATTTTTATTGGTGTCTAGTTCCCTTGCTCTGAAAATATATAAACTCTTAAAGGTAACATACATATCTATATTAATACAAATACAAAGCTGTGCATTGCACACAAACCAGATAAAGATAATGTTTTGTTTTATGTTTGAGCAGGTAAAATATGTGTTACGTGTCTCGTAAGTTACTTTTGGTTTATTTTTTCATGCTTGTAGTCAGGATTTCAGGGGGTCTTCCTCAATCAAACCTGATTTTCCTTAACCCAGAATGAATCCGCAGCCTCTCATTTCCCGTGGAAATAAAAACACAACTTCTCCCCCAAAGTGACATATCTTTTGACTTAAAAGTTTGGAGTCAAGATACTTTTTCAGTGTATAGGTTGGTTTAATATAGCAGTTTCCATAATTCAAGGCCTCTTAGTAGTTAATATTGGTTCATTAACAGTCAAAAATATAACGACAACACATTGAAATATAGAATCCAGACTCTGTGTATTTTTCATCTTATGTGACTTAATCATATGTTTTATTACTCTATTACCTTTTTAAGGACTTTACGTGTTATTTTTAAATCTTTGATGTTTCTACCCTTTTTATTCTCTCTCAAGCCTATGTAATTTTAAAACACACTGTAACCCATTTAGAGGTTTTTGTTTGTTTGTTTGTCTGTCTGAATCTTTTTACTGTGAATCTTTAACCCTTTTTGTCTGTATGAGCAAAAGTCCTAAATCTGCTGTGCACTCTATGTTGTAGCTTGTGTGAGATGGTGGGATTCTGCCATGTTTCAGCTCAAGCTGCATTCCGCATCCCCTTGTATTGTGGTCCACATGAGAGACATGAACTATGAAGCTGCTCTTGGCTCCATTTTTGTGTATCTAGAACCCTTTCTTTTAAGCTTTTTCAGGCTACATGTGGATGTAAGCACCAGTTTCTGTCCCACCAGCAACTCCCAAATACCCAGTAGCCGCTTCCCAAATAATGACTGTTTAATATTACTTACAAATGCCTGGCTGGTAGCTCAGGCTTATTACTAACTAGATCTTACACTTTAACTCATAATTCTTATCTATGTTTAGCCACATGGCTTGGTACCTTTTCTCAAAATGGCATTCTCATCTTGCTTCCTCTGTGTCTGGCAACTCATTCTGCTCTCCTTCCCATCATCCTCAGTTTGTTTGGCTTTCCCACCTGATTTCCTGCCCAGCTACTGGCCAATCAGCATTTTATTAAACCAATTTGAGTGACAAATCTTTCAAGTGTATAAGAGGATTATTCCACAGCAAATCCTGGTGACTCAGTTGAGAGGAGCTCCCTCTGTAGACCAGATCTGCCCCTCTGTGGCCTGTGGCCTATCCTGCCTGCCAACCCCATTGCCTCTATAGAAGGACACCTGAGGGAAAATATTCATGGTGATTCAGGCCTCAGTGAACAGAGAAACTATTGTGACCCTAGTTTTAGGTTGAGACACTTTTCACCTTATGCTTTTGAAAACTAATTGCTTTCTAAAAGCTGTAATTGGTGTATGCATTGCTTTTTCTCAAGGTCAATTATTTGAACCAATTTATAAGGCATATGAGTTTCTATATGCTTAGCTCTATCGATCTGGTTCCTAAATTTAGTCCCTATTTAGTAGTTCATTTAAGTCATTTGGAAATTTAAAGTCATGTGAGTTCCTGGAGAGTCTACCCAGTCTATACTTTGTTAAACTGATTTGTTTTTTATATTTCTAGTAGTAGCCATAATCTGTTTATATTAAAGAGGTTAAAGTACAGTCTGCAGAGTTCATGGCTGACTTACAGAAAATCAGAACAGCTCACCTGTCACCCAGAGCAGGCTGGAGTTGAGGTTAGATAACAACACAGGCATGAGGCATAGCACTGCCTGGCACTGTGAGTACATGGCAAATGTAGCTGGTCACATTCTTATCTCTGCTCTACAGAGTATATTCAGTATATTGTTTGTGCATTGTTTCTCTGATACATTTGTGATGTTCTTATGAAGTTTCCACAAAGCAGATAAATCTGGGCATGGTGGTGCATGTCTGTAACCCTAGCACTTGAGAGTCTGAGGTAAGTCGTCTCAGAGTTCAGGGCCATCCTGAGCTTCAGACTAGCTTAGCTGGCATATTAAGACCCTGTGAAAAATAAGGCAATAGAGAAAAGCCAAATAAACAGAATGCATCAGGAATTGGTAAAAATCGATTCTGGTTGGAAAGGAAGGAATTGTCCGCAGAAAGGATTGCCTGAGAGGGATGTGGCGTTTCTTCAGCAGAGTCACTGTTTTTCTCCCATTGCTTTGCAGCGGAGATCAAAATCTGTTTCAAGTACTACCATGGCATCAGCGGAGCCCTGCGCGCCACAACCCCCTGTATTACTGTGAAGAACCCAGCTGTGATGGTGAGTTCCCCTCGTTGCTGGCTTCCTCCTGAAGCCCGTGAAGAGTTCTATTTTTGCCCGGGCAGCCCTGTCAGGGTCATGAGGAACAATGAAAAGGAAACACACGACGGTGTGGACACTGCTTTAGGAACGGAAATGTGTTACAAGGCTACCATGACTGCATCTGCGATACCAATCAGTGGAAAAACACTTGCAGCGTAGCAGTCCTGTGTATCAGCAGCTCTTCAAGGGAACATAGTGAACCACAGTGTTCTGTCGTGAAGGCTTTTGCACGTGGTTAGTAGGAAATGGTGATGCTGTATCTCGGATGGATTTACATGAATGCGGTGTGTAAAGGGGGAAAGGAACCCAGTTAAGCCATAGTCATTCTACCTGCCAGTCACCTCAAGGAGCTTTCACCTGAAGAGACTGTGTGATGGGAGTCATATAAGGGCAGTTTCCTCAGAGGTCTGAGTTTAAATCTCTCACAGAGTGCTGAGTGGGAATCTACTGTTTGGCAAAATATGGCCACTATGGGAGCCAACTTCTTCATCAAGCCCTCAAGTGAAGAAAGATAGCCATTTACTTTGAAAGAAAAATTCTCCATTTCTGGAATGGTAGTTCACTTTACTTTGGATTGCTTTTACAATTTTCTGACTTTTTTTCTCTTGGTAGATCAGCTTTAAAAATCTAAAGTTCTCATAATTGGACCGATGGTTTAGGAAGATTCCCAGACTCTGACATATGTGAATGCTTGTAGGTTTTTGTCATTAGTAAAAGTAAGATTGTAGCCAAGTTGTTGTGGCGCACACCTTTAATCCCAGCACTCAGAAGGCAGATCCTTGTGAGTTTGAGGCCAGTCTGGTCTGCAAAGGGAGTTCCAGGACAGCCACAGCTGTTACACAGAGAAACTCTGTCTTGAAAAACTAAAACGATTATACAAGTCTAGGAAAAAATTCAACTCTTATGACATAGAATCTTCACTGTGTGTGTGTGTGTGTGTGTGTGTGTGTGTGTGTGTGATGTTGCTATTTTGGAAATAGACAGAGGTCAGATTAAATCCCCCCAATTGAGGAAGTAATCTCTATAGATGACATTTTGGAATTGTCCAGCCTCGCTGTGTGCTGTTTTTGATAGTGCCTGAATCAGTCAGTCATTTCCTTTCATTCATTATTCTGACGTATTTCCAGTGGGTGTGTCTGCTGCATGCCAGGCCTCCTGCTGGGAATCAGATGGTAAGAAGAGCAAAGTTGTCACTGTCACTGCTGTAGTGAGGGGGTGTGGCATCGATCAGATCACTTAAGTGATCCTTGTATGAGGAGAGAAGTAGACCTGTACTAGCTTGTAGCAGTAGGACCTGTCATGACCAGGAATGCTCTGAGTGAGGGCGGCCTAGAAGACGCTGCTTAGGTGAGGAGGGAAAAAGAAAAAAAAAAAAAAAAACAGACAAGGGGAACGTGTGAAAAATGGTTAAAATTATGTTTGAGTCTCTATGATAGTAAACCTAGTATAGACTATAGGAAGAATAGCCTGCATTACTACGTAAGACTTTGGGGGTGTCACAGAAAGATTTACAACTGTTGACCACAAAATCTGCCGTGACAGTGTAACACTGGACTAGATTGTCTTCTCTTTCATATTGTAAAATGAAAAGTTACACACCTCGAAGATAAAGCTGTGTCTAATCAAACCTCTGAAAAACTCATTTTGAGTGAAATTAGACAATAAAAGTAAAGCCAACCCTTCCTGAATTCAGAGTCATTTTTGACTTGAGCAGTACTACAGTCCAGCTCTTCCTGAAGGCAGTGGGAATGTCTAGTCCACTGCCCACTGAATGCACTGCAATGACTTTCCAGTGAGACCACTCTGCCAAAGCCTGCAGTTTGGGAATAACTAATGTGCTTCAATATGACTTCAGAGCTTTGTGTAGACTACAGCGCTGCAATCAAGAGAGAATGTTTTGATTGAAAAACTCGCTAATGGACGTGGTGGTCAATAGATTTCTGAACAATCTGGAAGTACTTGGGTCTGTATTCTTGGGTCTAACCTCCTTTGGGGAGGTCAGTGCTATGCCGTGGTCCTCCGGCCATACAGCATGTGTTTAAATGTTGTAAGTGACAGCACTGATATTCACAGTGCTTGCTTGGTATGACTGTTCCATGCCAGATGCGAAGAATAGACCTGAGGAAGACAGCCGGGAGTCTCCCCAGGTCAGGAAATGGGCCGCTGTGCTAATCCTGTGATCTTTCCTACCTATCCTTTTGTGATGAATCAAGGATGAAAACCGCTGCCTCCTCTGTCATTTGTATGTTGACACGTTGACGTCATTGTCATTGTCAGAACACACCGTGAGATGTGTGTCAGAGCCTTGCAACGGGAAACCCTTCAGCTGCAGGGCGGGCTCTGGCACTGTGTTGTCTCAGTGCCTGGTTGACAGTGTCCCTCTGGGTTTTCCTGGAATGGATCTGTGGAGTGAGTCTATTTTAAACCTCCCTCTAATCACTGCTGCAGACATGCTTATTACGACGAATGGCCCTGTATTCCATGATAATGGTTGGCCTTCCGTGGCCTTATTGCAGTGTGAGATAAAGTTGTATTCTCTGAGTGTTATTTCAGTTGAACATTTTGCCAGAGAGGTGGCACTGTTTTTCTATGAGTTCTTCGATAATTGTTTTTAGATGAGTCTTACTACATGAACTACGTTTTTTTTACAATGAAAATTGCAGGTGTCTTCTCTTGTTCCTGTAGCTCCTGAAGATATTTTAATTAGTTTATGAGCCAGGTGTGGTAGTATATGCCTGTAATCTTAGCACTTGAGGAGGAGGCTGAAACAGCAAGATTGTGAATTGTCAACCTGGGCTGCATAGTAAGACAGTGTCTCAAAAGAAAGAGAGGGGAGAGAAGGAAAGGGGAGGAGAGGAGAGAATTCTAAATGAAGGCAGTCCATTAATCTCTTCAGCCACAAATACCTCAGCACAAGCAAGTGCCTGGTTAGACACAGATGTTCTGTTCCTGGATGGGCATGTCTTACTTATTAGACAATGTGTTCTACTCAAGGCACGGCCCTGTTTGGGGGACCCACGATCCTAGTGCAGTGGGGAGTGTAGGTTACTACTGTCTGTCCCAGGGGAAGTCTGTATCACCCGTCATAGTCTAGGTCCTGTGTGCTGGAAGCAGGATGAACAGTCACAGAGATCTGCTGTCTAGACAGTTTGCTGCTGCCTCCACCCCTGTGAATCTGGGAATTGTGAGTCAGAGGAATATAATCCATTGTCATAACTCACATTTTTGTTGAATGAATGCTCTATGATCATCAAGAGATTGGGATTACGGGGGCCGGGGAGGTACATAACTCCATCAGAAAAACCCTCGCCTTGTGAATGTGGGGACCTGAGATTGATCCTTAGAAAACACATAAAAAATGCTGGGTGTGATTGCATGCACTTGCAGTCCAATGCTGAGGAAGTAGACAGGCAGGTCCCTAGGGCTTGCTGACCAGCCAGCCTTAACCTACTTACTTGGTCAGTTTTAGGTTCATGAAAGTCCTTGTCTCCAAAGAAAAGGGGAAGAGCACCTGAGACAGTGACTGAGGCTGTTCTCTGGCCTTTCCATGCACACACCCGCGCACAGGAGAGTGAGGAGGAAGGAAGGGGAGGGAGAGAACAGAAAAGAAAAAGGTGTGATGGATAAAGAAAGGTCCTAATGCAAACTTATCAGGCAGTTGGTTGTCACACAATCTCGTCTAATTGTCACATAATCTTGTCCAAGGTGCAGAAGGTAGAAAGAAGACAGTAGAGTTGACATTGAACTTGACTTGGCTCAGTGATGGTCACATGTGACGCTGTGTGAGTTTTCCATGGGGAGTACAGCAGAGACAAGGAGGAATCAAAGACCGGAGACATCCCGCACCAGACGGAGGTTCAAGACAGAAAAGCAGAGTTTGTTCACACGTTGGTGCAGTTGGGGAAAAGAGACTGCTAAGTAGACATGACTCAATTCCAGACATGAAAAAGGAAAATGAGGATTTATACTCAAGAGGCAGAGTCAGTGGGCGAAAAATTATTAAGAGGGCCAAGAGGATGCGGTAATAACTCTTGATAAACTAACTTAAACATAATTTTTGCTGAAGGCAGGCCAGGTGGAACCTGGAGCCTGGTAAGGGATGAAGAGTTTGGTCCGGTATCAAGAGTGATGCCATAGTGAGGATAGGGATTCTCTCTCGATGAAGGAGAATTTTTATAATCTGTGAAGCTAGAGACAGAAGGCTAAGGTGAGGCCTGGTTGAGCTGAGGGCACACATGAGCTTGACTAAAGTTTGGTGAAGGAAGGAACCTTGGTAGGGTTTAATATGAAATTCTGCCTCAGTTCTGTCCCCTGGTAATGTGTACTTCGTTTACAGAGTACCACAGATTTCTTAGAAATCATAAATTATGTATTAATTGTATACAAATGGAGAGAAAGATCTAAATTTGATTTGTGGTCTATAAATTACTGCTTTTGTGTAAGATATAATTTACTCAAAAGTTTTTAGGGAAAAATGATTGTACAATAGCATTACACGGTCCGATCATTGCTAACTCCAATAGCCAAGTACCCACACTGCAATATGGCAGAAGCCTGGATATAGGTAGGGCACCTGTGTGGTCACTTAGAGATATGAGATAAGGGAGGGTGACTTGGTACATGTTAATGAATCTAACATAAGTCGAGAATTTATTCCCAGCTTTCTTATTAAATATGAGGAAATTTAGTGTTTAGTTTTAGTAGTAATATGAATATATTCCTCCAGGCATGGTGGTACATTCTAATAATCCCGACACTTGAGAGGCAAAAGCAAGAGGATCATGAGTTCAAAGCCAGTTTGGGCTGTGTAGAGATGGATGAGAATTACTAAGAAGGTGGGGGGTGTGATCACAAACCAACCTCCAAGAATTCTTGCTGAAGACAGGCCAGAATGGTAGATATCACCAGGGTGGGGGAGAGGGCACTGATGACAGTTGAGAAATTTGGTCGGTTATCAAAAGTGATCTCGTCTCAAGGGATGGGATTCTCTCTAAATGAAGCAGGCCAGCCTGAGCTGTATAACAAGACCCTGTCTTAAATATAACAGAAATACTGCTACCATCAGTGTCACCCACACATACGAACACACACCAGAGAGAGAGAGACAGACAGACAGACAGAGACAGCTGGCCTCAAACTGGTGATTTGAAGTCTCAATGGGGGTTGGAACTTCCAGATCAAAGCTGGAATGGCTACCCACTACAGTGATTCTCCTGCCTCATCCTCTTGAGTGCTGGGGTTATAGGAATGTATACCATAAATAACTGTATTCATACTAAGAGGGAAGATAGAACAAAGTAGGTTAGTTATATTAAGAAAGATTTCAAAGTTCATATTTTCTTTGAATGGAGTAAAGATTAACTTTAAATATGGACCTTTGGTCCTGTATTTTGTAATCTACATTTGCATATCTATTCTAAGATTTGAAATTTTGAAGACATGCACTACAATGCATTTTGATATAAAAATCACTGTGTGTCCAAACAGATGAGGGTCCCTGGACCATTCGATAGCATGATTCCCATATGAAATTTCACACACATTTTTCTTCTCAGATGGGAGCGGAAGGCATGGAAGGAGGTGCTTCCGGAAGTCTACATTCTCGGAAACTCGTCAGCTTCACGTTGTCAGGTATGTGTCTGAGTGTGGCCTACAGTCTGAGGATATGTAGTGTCAATATAGGCCACAGTCCATTCTTCGTAGTGTCACATGTGGCCTAGAAACTAGGTTATTTTGAGTTCTTTTGATCATACTTCTGGAAAGTCAAGTACATATCTTACCATGATAAAATTAGATGATTATTATGTTTAGAAAGTATTCTTTTTTACCAAGTTTCCTCATGGAAGGACCATGTGAGTATGGAAGGTTATTGAAAGCGTGTGTAAACTGCTAAATAACTCTGCCAAGGGAGCTTTGGTGATTTTTAAACAATCTGTGCTTACTTTCCGCTAGAGAAAGAAAAAGTTGTGAAGGCCTGAAGTAAAAACATGAAAGGCATACTTCTTTCTGTGAGGATTGCACATGAAGCAGACAGATAGCTGTTTTCATGAAATTAAAAAATATAATAAGTAAAAAGATAATGGTTTCCTGTTAAAACATCCCACCTGCTTGCATGTAAACCATCCAGTTACAACACTGTTCTCAGGCTATGAGTTTTGTTTGTATTGCAGTTTGAGAAGCTGACAGAGCTGAAACTAGCATTAAAATAATTGGGGCTTGCTACCAAGGGGAAGATGTTTTGATAAAGCATCAGTTTACACAAATTGACATTTTTTAAACAAAAAGAATATATGTGCATGGATGTGTGCACTGGGCTGCAGCGTAAAAAGGTGAAATTTATTTTGTATGCAGAGCACTGTGCTTGGAAAATGTCCATCCGACCACAGCACTGTCAAAAGATATTTGAAAGCCAGCGACCTTGCAAGAATGCATTGGCAGTTATGAAACCGAGAATGCTCTATGGGAGCCGGTGCTTGAACTGGAGTTTTCCAATAGACAGCTGGATGATAGTTTATACAAGGTCTAAAGTTTACCTGGCTCTGTAAAAAAAGTAAATAAATAAAAATCGGAAGGTCTGAGATTTAACTGAGATTCTGTTTTCTCTGCTTAAATATGGTGACTGAGCATCGGCATCTAAACGCTGATCCTTGGTATCAGCCACAAACCCTAACCGTCAGGTCAGACCAGGCTGTGCACGTCCACTCACTGCTGGCCACGGTCTTCTTTTTGTTTAGTTCTGTGTCGTCCTTTTCGCTTCCTGTGGGGCTGTACATTTGAGGGCCTCCTTCCCTTCCTTCCACTTCCTGGTGAATCTCAGAAGTTGTAACCTGGTGGCTTATGATTCAAATCGGGCCAATAAATATGGTTTGTTTGGGGATCTTGGGGACTTTAAATACTTTTCAATACTTCAAAGCCCCATTGTCGCTGGGCCGTGGTGGCACACACCTTTAATCCCAGCACTCAGGAGGCAGAGGCAGGTGGATCTCTGTGAGTTCAAGGCCAGCCTGGTCTACAGAGTGAGATCCAGAACAGGCACCAAAATGACATAGAGAAACCCTGTCTCGAAAAAATAAAAACAAAACAAAACAAAACAAAAAAGCCCCATTGTCTGTTTTAGCATTTGCCTGCACACTGCTTCCTGTTGATGATTGACAGCTCGTGCTTCAGACCTGGGAAGTTGTCAGGAGTTACAGACACTGAAGCCTGTGGTGACAATAGGGAGCAGTTAGCCACCCCCACGATGGTGGCTATACTCTTATCGATTCTGTAGGTTAGCGCTGTTGAACTATGTGTTTGGTTGATGTATATCACTTTAAACATGGCAGTCACACATTGATTTTGACTTCAGAGGCAATGCTGTTAACTCACTGTAGGCGAATTTCTATCTGTAAAGTAAAATCCCAGGCCATCTTCCTGAAAATAAGAAACAAGCTCTCGGCGGACATCCGCGAATCCATCTTGAAATACTTCTGTCACATTCCACCTCTGTTCACACGGAAGCTGGCTGCCTTAGATGTGTTTGTCTTTTAGATAGACATTTGCCGAGAGTACAGAGACGTGTAAAATCATGGGAGGGGAATGGATTCTATAAGGTTGATTCTAAAACAACTAATATCATTGTGGACTGATAGTAGGTGATTCTAAAACAACTAATATCATTGTGGACTGATAGTAGGTTGACAGACCAGGATGGCTGCCTGCAAAGTTGCTCTGCCTGATTATCGAAGGATACGTAAGGGCCCAGAGACTTGAACTCTACAGCCTCAGCAAAAACTGCCTTGATTAGTGTTTTAAATCTTATCCAAATAGGGCTGAAGCCAGGGTATTTTAGCACGTGCTTTGAGTTCTTCTTTGGTCTGCTGCGTGATGTGGCTGTGTGTGAACAGTGAAACAAAGGAAAATAAAGAGAAACAAGAACAGAGATAAGATGAGTAAAAAGGGAGCCCAGTCAACAGCTTACAGATAATTGGCAGTTTATCACCTGTGTTAATGAAGATGCATTCATCTCTGCAGCGTCTCGCTGTGGAAGAGTTGGCATCAGGGTTATCTGATGTTGACATCCTTTATCACAGTGACAGCAATCTGCTGGTGGAATGCTTTTGTGTTCAAAGGAGTGCTTGTCTGTGAATGAATTGGTTCTGTCAGACTTTGTAGCAGGTATTTATTTCTATCCACGTCACTCTGCATCTACTTCAAGGAAATCCCCTGCTTGGAAGTAAACTTCATATCTAGAGGCTATCAATCTGTCTTGAGTCTGAGGCAGGAATACTCAAGAAGGGAAAGAAAATGAGTGTGTTAGCTGCGTTTTCTCCTCGAGGCTGCTTTACACCAACAGAGAAAACATGCAGTTGGTGAACAGCCGAATGAAAATCTGCATTTAGTAATGACTGCATAGTCGATGAGCACAGTCTATGAAGTGTCAACAGTGGGATCCTGGGATAATGACAGCAGCTTCTCAGAGTGTCTGACTCATCCCCTACTTATCCCTTCCCTCTCCTGTTGATTTCTAGGTCAGCAATCAATCTATATCTCATGCAGCCTTGCTAACATGAGGCCTTGCTGTTGACTGGCTCCATATTTGCTGACATATTACCCTGTCTCTTCCGAGACTGACTGTCATTACAGCCCCGGTCTGTCTTCATCACATGTATCTAGGCCATGAGTTCTTATGGACCAGGCCATCTTTCCCAGAGAGTGAGCTCTGCGAATACATAAAACCCAAGGCCTAGGTGACCCCTATTGACCTCCTCTAATTCGGAGCCATGACACAGCATCTCTTTCCCTGCTGATCCAGCCAAGGCAAGGGTCTCTCTGTGCATAATCGCTCTCTAAGCTGGAGTATTCAAGACCTCCATATTGATCTGAATCGTATAAAAATGCAGTCTCTTCCACAGCTTTCAAGATGGTTTAGCCTCCAGAGTTCCATTAATCCTACTGCTTAATTAATACCACAACAGCCTCAGAAAGGTGTTGTGGGCCCAGCTAAGCCAGCTTTAGTTCTAGACATTTGTGTGCCTGTTAGCCTGACAATTTTTTTTTTTTTTTTTTTGGTTTTTCGAGACAGGGTTTCTCTGTGTAGCTTTGCGCCTTTCCTGGAACTCACTTGGTAGCCCAGGCTGGCCTCGAACTCACAGAGATCCGCCGGCCTCTGCCTCCCGAGTGCTGGGATTAAAGGCGTGCGCCACCACCGCCCGGCTAGCCTGACAATTTAAATGTCTCCTCGCTGAGCAGACTTCAGCTAAGACTTTTAGCAGCTCATCTCATGTAAAACATATTGTAAAAATAAGGTAAGTTATAAGTTATATTCACTGAATATTTAAATTACTTTATAGGTTATGGAAAAATTAACTGAAGAATTATTTAAAATAATTGCATTCACATATTGGACTCCTTATAAAATATGTATGACATTTAAGATGTAATACAAATGAATGTGTGCTTTAAATTTTGATCTCAAGTTAAACTTGGTTCAAACTTATACATACATACATGCATACATATAGATATATAGTATAGATATATGTAATTTTATGTATGTGGGGTTTTTTTATGAAAGGACATATTTGTGGAGATTGATTATTGAGATTTTCTATACAGAGGTTGTCTTACATTCTGGCTGACCAACCACACTGCACCATGAAAAAGATGATGAGGACCCACAGGCATATGGCCTGAAAGAGTTCCAGGTGTAGGGGCATGAGGTAATGAAAAGGGGCTGGCTTTAATTTGGCCACCTTGGAGATTGCCCCAGCTGGAATTCCTTCCATGACCTGCTTGTCATTCTCTATGTGCGCACAGTGGGACTAAATGCTCTGTGTGACTGGCCCCTTTCCGGTTAGAGCGTTGGAGTAGTTAAGGACGCCCGAGTCTTGTGCTAACTGGGATGTCTGGATCCCCCCTCCTCTCTTCTGTACCTTCCTCACCTACTGCCTTTCCTCTCTCCCACTCCCCCCTCTCCTCCCCTCTCTCTCTTTCTTTAAAGATCTCAGGGCAGTTGGGCTCAAGAAAGGGATGTTCTTCAATCCTGACCCTTATCTTAAGATGTCCATTCAGCCAGGGAAGAAGAGCAGTTTCCCTACGTGTGCCCACCACGGCCAGGAGAGAAGGTCTACTATCATCAGCAACACCACCAATCCCATTTGGCACAGAGAGGTAAGAAGGGGGCGGGGCGGGGTGGCTTCTGCTTGACAGTTCTTCACAGGCACATTTGTCTTTTCTCTCTGAACGCTGTGCGGGGCCTTGGGTTGTTAATGGGTGTGGGCAAGATGGCTCCAGTGTTGAGTGTTGTTGTCTCGAAGCTGTGTATGAGCTGTTTCCTTCCTGTTAGAGCCAGGTAAGTGGTAAGATGGGTGAAGTAAGTGGTCACTTCTAGGGTACAAATTTAATGGAATGCTAAAGGCTTAGTAATCAAAATAAATATCTTAATATTTTTTAAAACTGAAAATTAATGCAAAAAGTTCACGAGGAACAAAATATTGGAAGGTTTCCGCAAGAACAGGAGAATTAAAATGTTACCTTGCAGAGTCACAGCAGAGCCTGAGTTGAAGGCGGAAAGGCTGGTTTATATTTAAATTTTTTATCTTTTGCTCTAGCATATAGTCAGTCCAAATTAAAGGAGTTTCTCTCCATGGGCTTTAGCAAATGTTTTTATGAACTTTCAGATTTTTGCTGGATGAGCCATCCAGGAAGTCAGCATCCCTGTGAAAGCAGATAATGTTGATGGTCCTGTAGAGTTCCTCACAGCTTCATTAGCCTACCATCCAGCACAGAAAGACACGTCCCCTGAACAGCCCTGTGGCTTTTTTGAATAGCAGAGAGTGTTGCTTGCATTTTTTTTATACCTGTTCTAAGACAACATGGTATTATAATGGCAAAAGTCACAGCACCTTATCTTCTATGTCTTGAAGCCTAGAAAATATAAGATATTTTTCAGTGTGAGCTGTAGAAAGCCCATAGTAGATACAAAAACAAAACAAACCATAGTGCTCTGTGTGAGGAAGGAGTCTGGTGGAAGAGCCACCTCAGCTCCCCTCCCTATCTCTTTCTCTGGATCCGCCCCCTTAAGAGTCGGCCAAACACAACTCCTCCCCCAGAGAGGCTCAGGATGACTCCCACAGGGAATATATAAACGGCATCTCAGAAAACATACTCCTGGGTCTCATCCCCTTCTCTCTGTGGAGCTGGGGAATTACCCGAGAGTGCTTTACCCATTAAACCTGGGCTTTTCCTGATTCAGTCTGATTCGGTTTGCTGCAATGGCGGAGAGGCCTTCAGGAGGCCTAAAACTTATCACTCTGTAGCACAAATCTTAATTGGTCTTAATAATAAAAACCCGGAGTCAGATATTAGGGGGTGAAAGCCGAAAGATCAGAGAAGCAGAGCAGCCAGTCACTAGAGTTCTTACCTCTACCAAATCTTCAGACTGAAAGAGACTGAGTTCCTGTCTCCTTGCCTTATATTCCTCTCTTTGCTCAACCATATCACTTCCTGTCTCCACCTCTCTAGTGTTGGGATTAAAGGCATGAGATCCCAAGTGCTGGTATCAAAGGTGTGTGCCTCCACCGCCTGGCTCTGTTTCTCTCTTAGACTGGATCAATCTTGTGTAACCCAGGGTGGCCTTGAACTCCTGATCTTCCTGCTTCCTCCTCCCAAGTGCTGAGATTAAAGGTGTGTGCCACCACTGTCTGGCCTCTATGGTTAACTAGTGGCTAGCTCTGCCCTCTGATCTCCAGGCAAGCTTTATTTGTTAGAGCGCAAACAAAATGTCACAACACTCTTTTCCTCTTTCTTGTCTGTCTTTTTACACTGCCCAGCACAGAGCCAGGGCTGCCACACATGCTAGCCAAGCACTCTACACTGACTACATAACAGCCCGCCCAGCACTGTGCATTTACACACTTCTTGACCTGATGGAGTAGCTGAGATTATGATCTAACCATCTCTACCTGTGGTGATCAATATACTCAGCTTCAAGTATTAATGTGACTACCTACTCAGATGCTTACGTGGAGCCTTCTTATTCTCAGCAAGTGCTGTTTTCCATTAAGCAGACGAGCAAATTCCTCTGCCCTCTGGAGAACTCTAATTATTATACTAAATAGACTAGTGATGCCTAAATGTCAAACAGGCTAGTAGTACTGTTCACATGGCTGGAGTTGCATGGACACCGTCAAGGAAAAGTACAGTGATTCACACTCACTTCCTGCCTCCATCATTTACTAAGGTCAAATTTTTAAATAAAAACAGAATCAGTATTACTGATTTTTCCTTCTACTCTGGTAAAGTGTTGTATGCATAATTTAATATTTGATAGTATCTCCTGTGACTGCTGAATCAAGAAAATGGATGAAAAGTGGCTCATTGGATGAAAAGACGTCTGCTGTCATTCAGATCTTAAACTTTTGTTTTAAGAATCATGAATTTCCGTAGTTTTATGTGAGTACAGGATTGACAGAAGCTGGTAATGTGGACTCTGCTTGTCATTAGAGTTTCAGGAATAGCACTTTCTGTCGATAAAATGATAAAATGTTCCATTTGTCTTCTAAGCCAACGTGGTGCTTGTTTTTGGTTTCAGAAATACTCCTTTTTTGCACTTTTAACTGATGTCTTAGAAATCGAAATTAAAGACAAATTTGCCAAGAGCCGCCCTATCATCAAGCGTTTCCTGGGGAAGCTAACCATTCCGGTGCAGAGGCTGCTGGAGCGGCAAGCCATCGGGTAACCAGCTCTCACTTTGGGGGACCTTGAGATCAATTGAGGCCGAGGCAGCGGAAGTGGTGCTTGGCGGTCCTGGCGTGTGTCTTGCTGATGAGAAGTGAGATGTGTCTCTTTAAAAAATAAAAGTGCACTTATGCTCAGTAGAGTGCACTGGACCCAGATACCCCGTTTTAATGATACACTTTCTTGTGGTATCAATCCCCTTTCCAAGATTCACCTAGATAGCAATCAGTGACAAATCTTAAGAGTGTTCAGTTCGTTTGGGGGCATGTTGAAATCTTGCTATAATACCCTTACATGAGCATCATGTTTCCTTCATCTTATCCTGCTGAATTCAATCCACAGAGCCTACCTTTATTCCTGAAACACAAAAACAAACTTACGTGGGGACTTAATTTTAGTTTTTCATTCCTGTGAGCTGTCTATAGGTTGTGAGTAAAGAAATACAACACAACCGCATCCATTGTTATGTATGTATTTTTATGTCATACGTACTAGCAAATTTCATACTACAAGTACCCTGGGATAGCTCAGTGAGAACAATTTGTGTGTCTTTTTTCAGTGCAGGGAAACCTTTTGAATATACAGTAGTGGCAACAGCAAGAGTAATTAGTGTGAGTGCCATCCTTGCAGTAGTGGTGAGGGTGACCCCATGAGATGCTGAGTTCACACTCGGTCAGCAGTTAGACGAGTACATGGATTTGCCGATGCAGCCTCAGTAACTCCAAGAGGTAGATGATGTGATGTCAACCATATCAGAGATGAGGCATCTGAGGCTGGCAGGCCAGTCGTGGGGCTGAGGTTTGAGCTCGGTCTTTCTGCTCGAGACCCTCTGTTCTCGGAAACATCTTGAGTACCAGTTTGAATTGTTTCCAATCGTAGAAAGCCAACCCCACACCTTCACTACGGTTTTCTTGGGTTTTAGTTTCCTTATCTGAAAATAACTGTCCAGATTACACATTCCCACTAGTCCTTTAAACAGAAAACACATAGGTTCTAATGAATTTTCCTTCTCCTGACTTGAAGATGTGAATGTTGTGGTTGGACAGACTGCACAAAGTAAAGAGATAATACGAAATTCTAGAGGCTTGTTTATCTGATAAAAGCTGAGAAATGACAGTTATATATTATTTTTAAGGAAAATAATTATAGCTTCTAGAAGATATGTTTTGAGAGCTTTTGAAATTATTTTAGCATGTATCAACAGTGAAAGATTATGGTGAGGATTGACTACAATAAATCTAATACCTTTCCCATTTGATTTATATTAATTATAATCATCCAATTCATGTAATATATGTGTATCAGTTTTGTATACTTACAGCAAGAATGATGAAGAAAGAGCAAAATCTTGTTAGTACTCAAACTGCCATTAACTCTCTACTATTTGAGTTGATCTTCTAAAGAGCTGGGCACCCACAGGAACACAGCCCCAGTCCCGTGTTTAGTGAAAGAAAGTCTAAAATACATTCATAAATGATCAGAACTGAGATGTTTCTCTATGAGTGGGTTAAAAGCATTGCCATCATACCAGATACTGGCATATGTTAATATTTCTGACCTGATTATTTTTTTCTATCTAGTTGATTAGTTATATGTTTGGTGAACCGTGGCTATCTGAAATAGTTGAAAATGTCCAAGGTAGTACTGTATGGGATAAGCCACACTCCCTAATCTATTTTTGAAGCATCTGTTTAGATGTAACATTGTTCATGGCAAGGCTGGATTTCTTCCTGAAAGACATGTCATGGTCCCATGTTTAGCAGTTTCCCTGATCAGTAGAAAATGCCTCAGGCATCTAAGGAAATTCTTTATTGTTCATTTTTTATAATAGTAATGTATAGCATATTCTTCATAATGATATATCACAGCAGGAAGCAGCTTGAGCCCGAGTAGGACTGGACAAGCCCAGGAGGAGGACCAAGCCCCCAGACTGGCACTCCATACAGTAGCACACTCTTCCCAGAGGATCTGAGGCATAGGGAGCTTTTCCGAGCTTTGATGTGGAATAGATGAACTGAGGACTTTTCTAAGTTAAAATTCTTCCAAGTAAAGGTTCTCGTTTGGCAGTCGGTTATTATGTATACAGTCAGTGCCTAATAAATGTCAAGAGCTATGTTGAGTATTAGAGATGAGACAGTCACGGAAACAGTTGGGCACAGCCCTTTCCCTACAGCTCTTACAAAGCTCTCATTCTCCTCCTTAACCGTTGCTTTCGTGAGTCTTCCATCAACAGCGTCATTGTTTGCGGGGAGAAGAAGGGAGGAGCCCTCAGTCTCTTTTAACAAGGAAATGGTGGCTTTATTAGAACACTGGGTGTCAGGAGAGATGAAACGCCAAGAAGCAGAGACAGGGCCATAGGAATTGTTCCCGGGCACACACATGAGTGTGCAAGCACCTCCGTGTGTGCTCTCTAAATGCTGGGAACACAGGAATACAGCTGTGAGGAGCCGAAAGAGGCACCCCTCCCTGCCTTTATGCTGATCATGGCTGTCATGCAGTTCTATCCAACATTCCAGTGTGATACATGTTTCAACTCCCAGTCCAGCGAGAGAGTATTGACAGCTGTATCATGGTCAGGTATACCGCAAGTAAGAATGGCAGTGTGAGGAACTCCACCAAAAAAACAGCCTGGAATCACAGACTGTGTAAGATGAGCTCGTGCTTTAGAGGCTGCCTGGCGGGGGCGTCTGCAGCAGGATGATACATGTCTCATCCCAGGTCTGCCATCCATGTCTTCCTCTAGAAAGCAGGGTTGATGCTCCCTACCAAGTGGCCAGGGGAGTAAAGAACAGTATATCCCTAGTGTCCTCAGCAACATGTGCATGTCGCTCAGTAAACACTCCATAGGAGGAAGCAAAACATGGATAGTATCAATCTAGGACAAAAATCATGTCGTCAAAAAAAGAAACGTCTAAGAACTGGACTATTAATTCAGGTGAATTACCAATTGGTAAATTGCGATTTTATATATATATACTTAAGAGTGTGTTCACAAAACAAAGCTGCATAGGTTGCTGCTCCAAAGCTAACCAGAGGCTCTGAACTGTACAGTGGTGCAGACGCGTCCCTTTCAAAAACAGCCAGTAGAGGGCAGTGTGAGAGCAGAAATAGTGTGGTTTCATTAGCCTTTTGGTTGCTTTCTGTAATTAGCAAATCATGTGACTAGAGTTGCTTGCATTTGAATCTGGGAAATAGATGCGGACTTGAAATAGCTGGATGATTCCATCTTTGGGAAAGCCAGTAGCCTAAGACTAGCACTGAGACAGGCCAGAAAATGAGCAGTCCCCTTGTGGTCCCCTCTAGCACCAGACATGGGGTGTGGTCCTCTCCCTCACTACAGAACACCTTGTTAGGACCTGGGACTCAGTGGTAGGCCAGGCTCCCCGAGAATGGGAGCCAGCAGCCCCATCTTGTAGGTGAGGGGGGTGAGGTCAGCCCCCGCTCCTTCTCACACAGTTGGGGCTGCCGCCTGGGAGTGGCCGAGTTTTGTGTTTTCTCTCTCTCTCCTTGAATGTGTCCTATAGCAAGACTTCCTTTTGTCCCCGGGTCACTTGTGCAAATGGGTCATATAACACACCGGGTCACATTGTGCCTGGGCCTGTATTTACTTAAAATTCTGAAAGTTCCGAGGGCGGTCCGTGGGACGTGGGGTGGCCTGTGGGAAGAAGGTGGAGGTACAGTCGGGATGAAGGGCCGTTTCTCCTCCTACAGTGATCAAATGCTCAGCTATAACCTCGGCAGAAGGCTCCCAGCTGACCACGTGAGTGGCTACCTCCAGTTTAAAGTAGAAGTCACATCTTCCGTCCACGAAGGTGAGATATCTGTGTGAACACGTAAGCACGTGATAAATTTGCTTGGTTGATAGTTAGCATTTAAGCAGGATTGTTTTGTGTCCAGGGCTAAAAATGAAATGGCTTTCCAAGCACTTAGGAAAATCTGTTTAGCAAAGACTGCTCCAAGTTTTATGCTTGCGTCTGAAGCTAGGCTGAAGTTTCTGGCAAGCGGGCGTACCTTCACCTCCTGTACCAAGCTTTGCACAGGATACTCATTTAGCGAGGGGTGGTGAACCTTAGCAGCTGGTGATGATGCCCTCAGGGTCATGCGGGATGACGGAACTCAGCAACCTGGTTAGTTTCAGGACAGTAGATCTTTATATCTCCTTCCTCCTGCTCACAAGTGCTACTTTCTCACTCAGATGCATCTCCGGAGGCTGTTGGCACCATTCTCGGGGTCAGCACTGTTAACGGAGACCTGGGCAGCCCTTCTGATGATGAGGACATGCCAGGGAGCCATCATGACAGTACTGTTTGTGCTAATGGGCCAGTGTCCGAGGACAGTGCTGCTGACGGGACCCCCAAGCACTCTTTCAGGACTAGCTCTACTCTGGAGATTGACACAGAGGACTTAATCTCTACTTCCTCAAGAACCTCACCTCCCAGAGGCCGCCAGGATTCGCTCAACGATTACTTGGATGCTATTGAACACAATGGCCCCTCCAGGCCAGGGGCAGCCACCCCCTCTGAGCGGTCCATAGGAGCCTCTCCCAAACTGAGGAGTAGTTTTCCCACTGACACCAGACTCAATGCGATGCTTCATATAGACTCGGATGAAGAGGACCACGAGTTCCAGCAAGACCTAGGCTACCCGTCTTCCTTGGAGGAGGAAGGAGGCTTGATCATGTTCAGCAGGGCATCCAGAAGTGACGCTGGGAGCCTGGCATCTCAGACCAAGCCAGAGGACGACAACCCCATTGAGAATGAGGATGCCTCTGTGCATGAAGCTGCTTCCTTAGAAGAGAGGCCCGAGAACCTTCCAGAGGTTGCAGACAGCTCCTTGCCCGCAAGTGCAGCCCCTGAGGACAATGAAGCCAGCCTAGAGCCCCATCCCAGTGCTGACCAGGGCAGCACTGAATTCTCAGGCTCTCAAGAGGCCGATCAGCCCACCAGTGGTGCAGACACAGGAGGAGCCTCTGATACATCTGGAGGGAGCCGCAGAGCTGCCAGTGAGACCGAGTCCCTGGACCAGGGATCTGAACCTTCCCAGGTGTCCTCTGAGACCGAACCCAGTGACCCTGCCAGGACAGAGAGTGTGAGTGAGGCCAGCACCAGACCCGAGGGAGAGAGTGACCTGGAAGGAGCTGACAGCTCATGCAATGACAGCGTAACCACGCAGCTGTCCTCGGTGGAGACACGGTGCTCATCTCTGGAGAGTGCGCGATATCCAGAAACCCCAGCCTTTTCTTCTCAAGAGGAGGAAGATGGGGCCTGTGCAGCTGCTGAGCCCACCAGCAGCGGCCCTACCGAGGGGTCGCAGGAGTCCATTTGCACTCCAGGCTCTTTACCTGCTGTGCAGGTGCCCAGTAGGGAAGAGGAAGGGCCAGGGGCTGAAGCTGCTGCTTTATCTGAGCAGGGGGAGCTGGGGGAGGTCTGGCAGAGGAGGGGGAGTCTGGAGGGAGCTGCTGCTGCTCCTGCTGCTGCTGACACCGAGAGCCAGCCCCAGGAAGATGGGGATGCTGGGGACACCCAAGGTGCCTGCGAAGGGGCCACTGCCCAGGAGGAGGGCGCCACTGGAGGTAGGATATAGAAGACAGCATGACTCTCGGCTTAAGCATGACTGCTCAAAAAGAAGGATTACGGTTTCCCTCCATGTAAATTATAATGCAGCTTGCATGTGTCTGTGAAGAGAGAGGTGAGTTCCTCACCTGGAGTTCACCAAGTAGCAAAAGGATTGGGAAGGGGAAGAGATGGAAACAGATGTCCTTCTCGTGCATCTGGTCTACCAGTCCAGATCTGGAGAGGCTGGCCCGAGAGGCTTAATCGTTTACCATTCACAGAGCTGGGAAGGAAGATGGCATGGTTTCCATGCCCAACGGCCTGGGGCCTGGGTTCCAATTCAGTCTTTTTTAAAACACGGATCATCTGTTGCTGCCGTAAGAGGCCTGGCAAACAGCAGACCTCAATCTTAAGATGCAAAAATGAGTCACAGCCTTATTGTAATATGTAGGGGTTATCAGGAGCACCTCTTTCTTAAAGCTCTGGGACAGACAGTTAGTGTGGGCTTTGAATGAAAACTTTGTCCAAGACATGTCGGCTGCGTTAAGCGAGCGTCCTGATGCGTGGAGACGGAGGACAGGAGGAAAGAAGTTCAAGTTGCAGGTTCAGACCTAAAATTGGCCCCGAATCTCAGTGAACGTGGCTCCCAGGAATGGTTTATTCCAAATGTTCTAGAGAAAAGCAGTAAAAAGAGAAAGGGCAGTTTTATGTGCCTGGATAACAAAGGCTTAATTAAATAGGAATTACTCCTTTTCTTCTGGAGTGGGGATTGATGCTAGAGCCTTGAGTTGACCTGCTAGGCAAGTATTGTATGACTGAGGTCCATCCCAGCCCTAGGAATTGTTTTCTGATTAAGTTATCATTTTCCTTCCCTTGGACCCCTCTTTTGCTTTTCATTAACCTGTGGTCACTTTGTGACCCTAAGGTAATTAGTGCATGAGCAAGTTAGAGGCAGTGAGGGGCAATGAAAGATGCATGCTGGGACATTTCTCTTGGATCACCTCTTCTGAGCTCCTAATCCATGTGGGAAATGAGATAAAAGAGAGCATAGGGCATAGCCCTGCCTGGGACTGATGTTTGATTTGTAATTCTCCTTTGTCGGTCTACTGAGTCCTGGGATTGCATATGTAATCCCAGTACATCTGTCGTAGAGGTGTGTTTTTGTTGTGAGTGTGTGTGTGTGTGTGTGTGTGTGTGTGTGTGTGTGTGTGTGTACACGCACGCGCGCACACATGTGTGCGTATAGAGAGGCACCTGTTTTGACACGAAAGGGGAAGCAATCCCCGAGTAACTTGGGTAACTTTTACCTTGAATCCTAGGTTCCCAGGCCAATGGCCACCAGCCCTTGCGGTCACTACCTTCAGTGCGGCAGGACGTCAGCCGGTACCAGAGGGTGGACGAGGCTCTCCCACCAAGTGAGCAGCTGTTAGCTAAACCTACCCTCCTGGCGGTGCACAGGGGTAACAGGCAGCTCCATTCCATGGGTCCTAGAGAAGGAAGTGTCTGGGAGATGACCAAGGGGCTGTAATCCGGGATGCTCTGCATGGTCACTCCTCTCTGGTACTAGTCCGAATGCAAGGGCAGCTAGGAAGAGCTGTGCTGCCTGTGGAGTAAATGCCATAACTGGGAAAGTAGATCCACATATTTCAGGCACTAGTCGCATAAGAGAATCTCTTCAACTATTCTTCACGGCAGCATGGTTTTCATTCAGGGAGTAGGCAAGTCTAAGAGTCAGAAGGACCTCACCCTGTAATGGACTGGCTTTTCGTCTCTTCCATCTGTTTAAACTATTAAGCACAGGGATCTTAGTTTTTTTTTTTTTCCTTAAGGATATACAGGACATGTTATTAATTTCAGAAATCAGCCCACAGTTTTGGGGGAGGATATAACCACTATTTAAGGATTCAAAGGGTGTTTCATTCTTTTCCTCCCGGAAGACACTGAGCACTTTAATAGACCGTTGAGGACTAGGGGTGTGGGGGAAATGATTCACAGCCTGAGTGACACTAACCCACTCATAATCAGCATGGAAGATGAAGTCTGTTTAAATCTCTGGAGTCCCTGAGCAGTATATGGAGAGCAGCGCACTGTGGTGGTTGAGCATGGGGCTCTGTAGATGAGCTGTTGGAGAAGCAGCTGGAGAGAGGCCCTGGTGAGGTGCTGTTTTCCTTGTTCTTCACCCTCTTCTCGCCTCTCTCCTCACCTGTCCTGTCACGTGGGGGACTTCATATACCTTACATAACGGGCTGTAAAGAGAAAGCAGCACGCAGTTCCGGTGCTGAAATACTCACTGGCGAGGTTTGGAGGGAGCTGGCAAGAGAGCTACATGCTACTATTGTAGTTTATAAGTAACTGGCTTGGTCCTCCTGGAATTCTGCTGGACACAGATCCCTCCATTTTTGATACATTTGGATAAAAATCGAATACTACTCTTGGGGGATATCTTGGTATAATTGGAGCAGAGTGGATTGGGAACAGCAGAAGAGGGTTGCGGCAGAGCTTTGTTTGTATATGTGGATCAATCATAGAGTTTCTGGGCGTTGGAAAAGGAAGCATAGCATTGCATGAATGTTCTGGTAACAAGCACCCTCCAGTCACATCGAGTTACTCTAGTATTTTTTGGACATAATTTTGATCTAGAGCTTACGTTTTTAAAAGAGATGCTTTCTTGCTGAAATTAGCATCCCGATTCAAGATATCTCAATGCCCTTGTTTAAACACTGATAATAGAACTATATGGATAAATTTTTTTTTGGCAAACAGTTGGCATTTTATAGCATTTGATGATAAGCCCAAAGAGTAAAAGTGATTCAGCCGTATGTCTTGTTTAATGAGTGACGGTGTACAGGAGATGAATCTTAAGGGCTATTCCCGTTCAGTTGTTTTGGTAGCGGTTCTGAGTGCCAGCCACCCCAGAGTCCATGAACTGCCTTCCCTCCTAACAGTGTGGTGCTGGACTTCAGGAGGAGGGGGCGGGGATGTCAAACATCTGTAGACGGTAGGACAGTCTTGATGCGACCAAGATTTGTCCCATCTACACTCCCAGTGTTCCTTCAGAGAGACACGCCTCCGCACACACTCAGCAAATGACATTCCAGAAAGACTAGGTAACCAGGTCTTTTCATTTCAGAAGCTCAGCTCTTAAAGTATGTCTTTATAAAAATGAGACACATACACATGTTACACTAACAACCAGCTTGGAAGTTTGCAGACTCCGCTGACAGGGAGGCTGGGGTCTCCACAACTGACGACTGCTCAGCTCTGTACCCATTCCCATGGCTCATCTTTGTAACACTCCGTTTAATTACTTGACTATTCTGCTGGCTGGCTATCCCCTCTCAACCTGGCCTTTTTCTGCTGCTTCTGGCTGTGTCCCTGACTTAAATCTGTGGCTCAGCTAAGGGCCCTGTGTTAAGGTTGACAGTTGTCACCCCCCCTTTTTTTTTTTTTTTTAGTTTTTCAAAACAGGGTTTCTCTGTGTAGCCCTGGCTGTCCTGGAACTCACTCTGTAGACCAGGCTGGCCTTGAACTCACAGAGGTCCACCTGCCTCTGCCTCCCGAGTGCTGGAATTAAAGGAGTACACCACCACAGCCCAGCTGACAGTTATACTTAAAGAACTACTGTTTTTTATAATAACTCGGGATTATGCAGTGCTTTGCAACTTTATACTTTATAAGGCACATACTCTCCTTAATTTTCTGTGTTATAATAATTTTGAAAGATAGATTAAGGAAGTCTTATCTGTAGTTTATCAAAGGAGGCATAGAAATCAGACAGGGTGATTCTTGTCCTGTGTGCATGAAACCCTGACAATTTCAAGGACTTGTTTATGGTCCCATACTAGGAAAAGCTGAACCAGAGACATTTCTTCCCCCAGATCTAGTAGTCTAATCCCAGGTTAGAAGAGAGGTGAGCTGTGTGGGTAGGTGAATGTAAAGCTGACCTTTTGTCTATACAGGCACTAAGGTAGCTTTTGTAGCATGAATCCTAATTGGTCTTAATAAAAACCCGGAGCCAGATATCACGGTAAATGCTGAAAGATCAGAGAAGCAGAGCAGCCAGCCACCACCTCTTACCTCGCCCACGCCTCAGTCTGAAAGAGACCTAGCTCCTTTCTCCTCCCACCTTTTATTCCTTTCTCCACCCAACCATAATCACTTCCTGTCTCAACCTCCATAGTGCTGGGATTAAAGGCATGTGCCTCCCAAGTACTGGGAGCAAAGGCATGAGATCCCAAGTGCTGGGATTAAAGGCATGTGCCTCCCAAGTACTGGGAGCAAAGGCATGAGATCCCAAGTGCTAGGATTAAAGGTGTGTATCACCACAGCCTGGCCTCTATGGCTAACTAGTGGCTGGCTTTGCCCTCTGATCTTCAGGCAAGCTTTATTTGTTAGAGCATACCCAGGATATCACCACAGACTTTTATGGTGGCATGCTGTTTATTGGGTGCCAGAAACACTCCAGGCACAGTAGAAAGTTTGGAGATTTGCTGCAACCTCATTATATTGTGTTTTGAGGTCAGGCCTGGGGAGGTACACCTTTCTCTTCTCGTGGGAGAGGCTTATACAGCAGGACCCCATCTGGGGACGTCCTTGTCTTATGAGAGGAGTCGCGGTGACAGTGTGAGCCACCTTTAAGTGATCCGGATAGATCGGCCCTGTTCAGCGCTGTGTCTAGATGAGCAGTACCCTTTGCTCTGCATGCACCTTGCTGTCCCCATCCTGGAAGGACAAGCCGTGGAACCAGTGCACTTTGGGCCTGGATGCTTCTCAAGGTTGGCTCTTCTTTTTTATCTTATATTTGTTTCCTACCAGATGCTGAGAAAAAGTACCTACCAAACTTACACTGCCCTTCAAAGAGTTAAAAAGCCAATTAGAGCTGGGCAAAGGCCATGCACACCTTTAATCTCAATACTTGGGAGGCAGAGGCAGGCAGATCTCAGAGTTGGAGGCCAGCCTGGTCTACAAAGTGAGTTCCAGGACAGGCAGGGCTACACAGAGAAACCCCATCTTGAAAAACCAAAATAGTAGTAGTAGTAGTAGTAAAATGAAAACCCAATAGGGACTCACCCAGACATTATCAGCTAAGTGCTGTGGCTGGTCACATGGTAGTCTACATGGCCTGGTGATAGTTTCTGAACATCTGTCTGAAGTGTTTAATTTAAAGGAGGTGTTTGCGGCTGCTTCCAGTCCCTCTCCTGTCCCTGGATCCAGGCACAGACTTGAACTCAGTGTCCGTTGCTTATCTGTCGTAATGACCTACCAGCTGGTCCTCAAGGACTTACTCCTGCTTTGGCCCATGAACGTGATCTGAGACGTGAGGGCCTCCCATCATTGGCTGAGAGGTGCTCTACCAGCCGTAGGAAATAAGAAAACTCGGGGCCTTGGAGTGCACATAGTAGTTGGGAGTAACCTGGGGTCTTAAAAACATGCTGTGTCTTGTCGTGATCGATCAGTGGTGCTGGCATATAGAGGAGCTTCAGGATTGAGGCCACCCAGTGCATTATCAGGTTGACCCTCTGGGTCTCTTTAGCATAAAGATCAAAGGGAAGATGGGCTGGCTAACATAGCCACTCTGAAAAAATGACTTCCTGTCTCTTCAGATCAGCTCTGGGGTAACTGTGGCTTAACTCATGTCTGTACAGGAGGCAGTGTAGAATTGACGCAGATGCACCCCCCTCCCCGCCCCCCAAGGATAGTTTCGCCCTAGGAACAGATCCTGGAGGAACAGTCAGGGGCAGGGACAGTAGGTCCCAGTGGCTGCCTCCGGGTCAGGGTGATGTTACTTACATAGTGGGTATAGATAGGCAGGGTTGGAAGAACACAGTGAGAGGTATTGGCTTTTTGTGATTTTTCCCTTTCATGGTTAAAGCATCCTTCAAATCAAAGACCTAAAAGCAGTCAGTGACTCTGAAAACTATAATTACTCTCAAAATTTTTAGGGACTCGGTCCTTGGAGTTTAAGATTGACTTTTATGGAAAAGAAGATACATTTAATTTCAAAGATACTTCTTAAAAAACAAAGACTACAGAAGGCCTCGTATTGCCTACTTTCAGTCTCAAACACTCAGGCGGGAGAGGCAGCCAGATCTCTGTGGGTTTAAGTCCAGCCTGGTCTACTTAGTGAGTTCTAGGCTAGCAAGGGCTACATAATGAGACTATGTTTTAAAAACAAATAACAACAAAACAAAAACCCTGACGAACAAGGAAAGTATGCAGCTACTTGAACTTTTAATACTTTTTATTGGAATAAATACAACACCAAGGAGTAAGTTCAGCCCACAGTCTTTTGAGCAGGACACTCTATGCACCCCGCACCTTAGAAGATCCTTTTGTGTCCTCAGCAACTGATTTCCTACCTCTCCTGCTGTCCTGACTGCCCAGATCACATATTTTGTACTTTATACAAGCAGCACAAAAACTCTATATTAAAATAAAAGAAAATGGTGATCCATTGAGACATGGTAGCTCTATGAAGGTCTCCTGTGCTGAAATAAAATAAAGTGGTGATCCATTGAGACATGGTAGCTCGATGAAGGTCTTCCAGCAATGATGTAACAAACCCCAGCTGGAAACCAGACTTCTTTAGGTTAATGTACTACTTCCTGAGACCCACTGTGGCCATTGTTCTCAGTCTCCTTCCATCCTGACGGTTCACTTTATGCGGCCCTATGGCAGAAGACAGGAAGGGTCCGGGCTTGCCTTCTGACTCAGCCCATCCCTGTCTCATTGCATCCCTCTGAAAGAAACGATGATGGTGCACAGTGAGTACTCACATGCATTCTTATGTGAAGACCCAATCAGATCCAGTAGAAAGACACACAAGAGGTTATACCCTTCAGAATAACTGTGCTAGTGATGATGGTAGTGAATCGTCCTACAGATATTGACCACTTGGGCAGGAAGAATGCCAACAGCATTAACAGTCTTTCCCAATCCAGTGCCAAACACCCACTTGAAATCAGCAGTCTTGCGGATCTGAAGATGTGCTATTTGATAAGAAGAGCCTTCAAAGTACATTCAGTTTTCTATATTCTTAGAGAGCAAATTTGTGGTTCTGGTTTCTTTTTCTTCCAATTGTACATAAAAAAAAATGTCTTTAATGAATGACAAATTAGGGTTGTCCCTGGTCTTTGTTGGAAGGTAAATAAAAAGATCGTTACTTTTTGTAGAATTATATCACTTAAAATTATTTGTTCTCTTATTATATGGTTTGCACAAGGCACGGTAGTAAGTGTATTGGGAGATCCTTACTCCAGATGTCTCCATTTGGCTACCTATGTAAGCTGTTGAACAGGCTGCATACACATCTAATTAGGTTAATCTTTATTTAGTTATTTCCAAGGAAACAATTCCATCGCTGAAGGTTTGGGTTTTTTTTTGTTTTGTTTTGTTTTGTTTTGTTTTTTAAAGCTTTCTTTTGTCAGGAAGTGGAAAGTATGCAGCAATGTGTTTTCTTTCTGCTTTAGCTGCCAGAATTCCAGGGCCAGTTTTTAGTAACAGCCTTACCTTGGAAGCTTGGCCACATTTCTTTCTGACTCCTCTACTTAGCTTTCTGTTCTTTTTTCGATCTCTGATTGACCTATTCTGTATTTTTTTTTTCCTATGGAGAGCTACTATAAACAGTCTATTGAACAAAATTGCTAATTGTTTTCATGTGAATTTGGCTTGACATGCTGTCAGTGGGTAGATTTTCCCGGCTCTAACAAGATAGATGAGATGGGAGACATGGGTTCTTGAGATGTCTGAGATAGACAAGTGTGTGTAGAAGAAAACAGAACTGTAGGGCAGATCAAAGGGGTTTTGAAAATGCTTCTCAGGCATGCTTACCATGTGTCCATGAGGCACACCGAGCGTGAGATGAAGTCTTCCAGAAATGTCCTGTTGGTGAAATTGTAGCTGCACCCAAAGAATCCAGTTGTATAGGGAGCGTCGCTGTACCCTCCCCCCGCACCACCCTTGGAAGTAAATGGCATTGAGAGGCTATGGTGCTCTATCTCTGCTCATTTGTCCTTCCTCTTGGCAGTTGTGACAGTGTGGCCTGGTCAGTATAAGATGCCTGTCCATCCGCGGCTAAAGCGATAGTGTGGTCTAGTGCCGGCTGGGCCTACAGTGCAGGGCTTCACAACCGTAAGGACTGGATCGGGGTGTTTGTTCCATTCACTTCTGGCAAACACATCATAGGTGGTGAGGAAAGCTCATGCCTTCCTCGCGGGCTCCTGCACCAGATTCAGGGAGTCAGTGATGAGTTTTGTGATAACCTGGAAAAGTTGAGCCAATTGAACTTCTCAGGAGAAAAGTGTTTGTTAGTTTTTAAATTAATTTACTCAGAAATATAAATTTAGAAAGATTTGTTTTTTTCTGAACAAAGAATGGGTCTCTGATGTTTTCATGTTTCCTGTATAAAGTCCTCCTCCCAAAGGTAATAAATTCTGAAAATTTGTCTTTTGAAAAGATCAGACCATGTTCTGTCAGTTTAAATAGGAAAGGGCCACCTAGTTATAGGATCAGGACACCTGGTTCTGCAGACTAGACTGTTCTCCAGTTTTACTGAACACGCATTTATACATTGGTTTCCAGAGATCAACACACTTGCTATGATACTTAATATACAATTAGATAGTCTTTTCAAGCATCATATTTATCTAAAGTTGGAGGGGAGAAGTTGTCCTTGCTCTAAAAATACGTTTCTCTCCAGGAGAGAGCAGATTGATATGCGTAGATAATGAATGATGCCGGTTGATTACTATGAAGTGTGTGGATGGCTAGCTAGCTACAGTCCTTTCAGAAACCTACATGTACCACTATTGTGTATAAATGCACATGGAACTGTCTGCTAAGCCACGAGAGAAGGGGGAAAGGTGCAGGCAAAGGAGAAAGAAAAAGATAAAATTTGGGTGAAAAACACCAATACCATTTTTGATGTGAAACTATCAACAATATAATGATACCACCCTACATGTACTTTTAAAACAGATGCTTATGTGTAAAGGATGATGATGGTAGGCAGCATGAAAAGATCCTGTACCTTTAGAAATTCTTTAAGAGTTTTGTATCATACATTCTGTGGAGACTTAATAACTAGTAACAACAGTTTCCCAAGTGGATTGGGGAGGAATGCTGGACTACGCTGTGAGGTATGTGTTATTAGCCACAAATTATAGTGTGTGAGGGAGAGAAAACTTGTGCTGAACTTAATGAACCACCTTTCTGGCCCAGCCCCTCCTCTCATCCCTCTTGGTGCCTTCCTGCTCTTTAGACTGGGAGGCGCGCATCGACAGCCACGGCAGGATCTTCTACGTGGATCATGTAAACAGAACCACGACGTGGCAGCGGCCGACAGCTCCTCCTGCCCCACAGGTCCTGCAGAGATCTAATTCCATACAGCAAATGGAGCAGCTGAACCGGCGGTGAGCACACACCTCCTACTGTTACTGCTCTCTGTTGGGGTTGAGTTTTTACAGGGTGCGGAGTAGGAAGACCTGGCTGCTTCTTTCAACTTTGATGTCTTGTCACTGGGCCATATGTGTCGTAGACGCCATTCGACTTCTCTTGGGAGAAAGAAAACAAAATATAAACATATAAACACACTTGCATTCTGGGAAACTACAGAGAAAATCTTCACAATTCCTATCATGCATTGGGTTTTAGTAAGGCACGTATAGACATTTAGGATCTGAAGCTGGACTTCTGACCTCTAGAATCTTCCCTTGCTCTGCAGCTGTATCCACCTAACCTTCCAAAGCAGTCATTCTTTGCCAAAAAACTAATTGCTGTGGAACAGAAACCTGTTTTCTCCTTCATTATAGTTTTTTCTTTGGTTAAGGGACACAGTTTTAAGGTTTATTAATTTGTCAGGAAAATGGTCTATAAACAGCTTCGATGCATTGCCATTTACTTAAGTAACAGGTAGCTCAGTGAGGTGGAGGATGGGAGCCTGAAACTTCGGGGTTCTCGGGCAGCGTCCGAGGGCTGGAATGTAACTCCAGGTCCACGCTTTCAGTTATCAGAGCATCCGCAGGACCATGACTGACGACAGGCCTGAGGAAAATGCCAGTGCTCTGGACGGGGCAGGGGAGGAAGCCGACTTCCACCAAGCCAGCGCAGGTAAGACAGGGCCTTTGGCTGCAACCTCAGAAAAAGAACAAGGATTCCTGAGAAATGAGCTCTTCTTTGAGAGAATTCCTGTAGATCTGATAAGACAACTTAAAAAGAAATAAATAAGTAATTCAACAGAAGTCTTTCCTAATACTTCACCTTTTATGGGTTCTGAGAAAAGTATCACAAAAACCAAATAGGTTGAAAAATCACCACAGTCTCAGAACCTGGGTCAACGTGGAACAAGAGTCTGGCCATTTTTTAAAAGCTGTGGATGCTTTGTGACATTGATAACAACTAGAAATGATATCCAATATCATTTTAGTGTCATTAAGAACAGTCAGGTTTAGGTATGCATTTTTTTTGGCAAATAAAAAAAATGTAGTTTCAGGGAGTTGAAATCATAGCACATGATGTAAGTAGCATTTGTATTGTTTAGTTCTGAAAGCCTTTGGTCTGTCTGATTAGACTTCCGCCGGGAGAACGTCCTGCCTCACTCTACCTCCAGATCCAGGCTCACGCTGCTGTTACAGTCACCCCCTGTGAAGTTCCTCATCAGCCCAGAGTTCTTCACTGTGCTGCATTCTAACCCTGTGAGTAGAAAAAAAAAAAAAAAAAAAAAAACAGGCTGAAGAAAATGACCCTCACTCATGTAATGATTGTAGGCCTCGTTGGAGTATTTCCAGAGCACTTGGTGTCTTCCAAACTCTGTGTTAAGTGACTTGCGTCTTAAACCACTGAGCCCATATAACCTGCCTACTATATGTAACAAATATCTGTAACTGGAGTATTCCTGTGTCCACCTGGGTCCTGTAGCTGCTTAAGCCCAATTAAACACACAGAGACGTATATAACTAATAAACTGTATGGCCATGGCAGGCTTCTTGCTATCTGTTCTTATATCTTAAATTAACCCATTTCTGTTCATCTATACCTTGCCACGTGGCTTGTGGCTTACTGGTATCTTGCATCATGCTTCTCCTAGTGGTGGATGGCAGCATCTCTCTGACTCCACTTTCTTCTTTCTCCCTTCTCCTCTCTCTTTGTCCCGCCTATCCTATACTTCCTGCCTGGCTATTGGCCAATCAGCATTTTATTTATCAATCAATCAGAGCAACATATATTCACAGCATACAGGACATCCCACAGCAGACATCCAGAACCAAACAAACAAAAGCAAAAACCTTTAGAGCTGACTGGCTTATAATAATAGCAAGAGTTCATTCATTTTCCACAATCTCGGGGGCAGTGACGTCCAGGATCATTTTGGCTGATCTGGAGTCAGACGATGTCTTTCATGGGTTGTGCGCCTTCCTGAAAGGATGTGAGGGCTGCCTTCGGTTCTGCGTTTAGGAGGTACTGATCCCACTCAGGAGGATCCTCATTGTGCTTTATCAATCGCTGAGCTACCTCCTGATGTCATCATATTGGTGATTGGGTTTCAGCAAGTGAATTGGGGTGGGGAAGGGTCACACAATCAACCATACCAGGAGGATCATTCCACGAGTTTCTGGGTGTTGAGGGAACAGCTTTGCTGAAGGTGTTAATTGGAGAAAGGCTGTCTTAATTGTATATGGAGTGATCTACAATAAAGGATATATTGTCTATAAGTTCAGCTGGGTAGAATCCATTCATCAGGACATGACCTGAGAGGAACCTCAACTAGAGAAGGCCCCAGCAGGACAGGGAGCATCAGAAAGTTGGCAGGATTTGGTGGGTTAGAAACTGAAGATTGGACACTGAGGATAGCCCTGAATAGTAGTGATCTCACATTAGTAACTATAATAATGGAAAAGTTAGAATGGAGGGGGAAAACTGAATGTGGAAAAATAAATTAAACATCTTAGGAAAATCAGACTAGACCAAAGGGAAAAAGTAGATACCGGCATAGTTCAAGTACCTGGAGGTGTCTGTGAGGTAGTTACTGTGCACCTGTTTACTGATATTCTTGTGTTTCTGTCTAACTTCGTTAGTATGTGCGTCTACCTGATTTACCCATCATTATGTCCCAGTTTACAGGTTTATCTTGGAATAAAAATGACTTGGGTGGAGGGAGAGCATAAATAGCATGGTATTTGTCTTCACAGCTTGCATGAGGGCTTAGGCATTTGCACATTTGCCAACTTTCTATTAATTCCGTTATATACTAGGCACTGAGCTAAGTCCTAGGAACGTATAGATGACAGCACCCATGGGTCTTGGAATCTCAGCCTTGAAAATACATTGTAGTGTTTTGACGATTATGCAGAAGGGATGCACAGGAACAGTGAGTGTGTAACCCCACTGGGAATGCACAGGGAAGGGGTCACCGATGGGAATGGACAGGGAAGGGGTCATAGATGGGAATGCACAGGGAAGGGGTCATGTAGATGGGAATGCACAGGGAAGGGGTCACCGATGGGAATGGACAGGGAAGGGGTCATAGATGGGAATGCACAGAAAAGGGTTTATAGATGGAAATGTATTTGCAAAGGGTTCTGAAGGCCGAATAGGAATTTGATTCACACACACAGACATCAAGAGCAGTCTGCATAGAAGGAGCAGTGTCTGTAAAGTAAGATCCTCGAGACTGTTGTGGTCACGAAACACTGAAGCTGGGCTAGCAGTACAGTAGTGTAGTGCTGGTGTGTAGAGAGAATGGGACACAGGGAAATCAGGCTTGAATCTAGGAAGTCAAACTTGAACCTAACCTTGTATATGGCGTGATTCTAGGAGATCACAAACTTTTCTACAAAGAGGAATAGACTAACTAACATTTAGAATTGTCACAAGACACAAAACCTCTCATGCTTTAGAGGAAAAGAGCTTTGGGCTTAGAATCAGATAACTCAAGCTTTTATTTGTTTGTTTATTCATTCTGTTCATCAAATCCCTGTGATTTCCCTACAACAATCTAGACTTGGTGGTAAACAAGACAGGCAGATATATAGATAAGAGAATAATGAACAAAAAGAAAATTTTGATGATGCAGTATGACAGGGTTGGGGGCAGGGCACAACCAACTTTGACTTGGGGAGACTTGGGTAGCCAACAGGCATCCCAAGGGAGCCAGCCACATTTCACACTGTCGAAAAATGTCAAGGGACAGCAAAGCATCTTTACTAAGCAAAGCACTGCCTTGGGGACAGGAAGAAGTTACGTTTGGAGAGTTGCGCAGGAATACTGAATAGAGTGTTTACATGATCTGGAAATGAATTTAGGCTTTGTATGAACTTTGTTCTAAATGTGTTGCTTTCGTGGGAGAGACAGGGTTTCTCAGAGTTCATTCTTGATGCTCTACAGAGAATGGGTCTTAGGTGTTAGGGAGACAAGTGAAAAGGCCCTGTGATTAGACCGAGAGGTGGCTTGGCCTAGTGCATATCACTAGAGATGAAGATGAGCAGATCGCTATGTGCTGTGTTGTGGAGGGGAAACTAACCATTTGGAATACGTGGGAGAAAAAGGCTTCCAGGGCTGGAGACATCGCTCAGTTGGTTGAGTGTCTGCCCAAGCCCTGGGTCCCAACCCAGTTGAACTCAGTGTGTTGTATGTCTGTAACTGTCCCCAGTGGGAGGTAGAGGCAAGCAGAGGATCCCAAGTCCAAGGTCATCCTTGACTTCCTATCAAGCAGAAGCCAACCTGGGTTACTTAAGACCCTGTGGTCTGTGGGAGGAGAATGTGTGTGTATTCATATGTGTATGTGTATCCGTGTATTTTTTTTTTTAAGTAAACTTGTCAATATAGCCGGGCGGTGGTGGCACACGCCTTTAATCCCAGCACTCGGGAGGCAGAGGCAGGCGGGTCTCTGTGAGTTCAAAGTCAGCCTGGTCTACAGAGCAAGTTCCAGGATAGGCTCCAAACCTACACAGAGAAACCCTGTCTCGAGGGGGAAAAAAGATATTTGTTGACTTTTGCCACCCCTATTAATGTACAAGTGGCTAAAGGACAGGAATGGCTTTGTGTTGACACAGGAGAGCTGGACCCAGACCCCTGCCAGGTAGTACGTATGGGAGCTGTTCCTGATGCAACAGCTTACTTTGATGTGGGATGTTAGCATGTTATTGTCTCTAGCGAGTTCTTTGGTCTACAGAACTTTCTCTGTGAAGGGCCAGAGAGTAAACATTTTAGGACAAGGACTGTAGCTAGAGTTTTCCTGCCTGGCCCACAGTCAGGACAAATCTCTCTCACCTGCCAGTCCCACAGCCGCTCAGACCCGACCAAGTAAACACAGAGACTTATATTGGTTACAAACTGTATGGCCGTGGCAGGCTTCTTGCTAACTGTTCTTACAGCTTAAATTAATCCATTTCTATAAATCTATACCTTGCCACGTGGCTCGTGGCTTACCGGCATCTTCACATGCTGTTTGTCATCGTGGCGACTGGCAGTGTCTCTCTGACTCAGCCTTCCTCTTCCCAGCTTTATTCTCCTCCTTGTCCCGCCTATACGTCCTGCCTGGCCACTGGCCAATCAGTGATTTATTTATTGGCCAATCAGCAACACTCTTGACATACAGACCATCCCACAGCAAAGGACAACATGCGCCTGGATGGCTTTAATAATACCTTGTTTGTTATAGTCAGACTGTCGGCCTATGGTCTGGACGGGTCACAAAACAATGAATCCTGAGGCCTGGTTTTCATTTACCATTTTCTACAGTGTGAATGCTCTCCCCCACAGAGTTCAGACTACGAGAGATATCACCAAGTGGGGCTTCTGACTTCTCTATCTGGGCTGGTCTTTGCTACAAGCTCCTCATCTCTGTGGTATCATTAAGCCATTGATGAGCTGTGGTTTAAAGCTGTGGTTTTTAACTTAATAGGCTTTTTCAGATAAATGCAAATGATTGATTCCTTGCGGGTTCTGCTCTAGGAGGGTGGCAGGGAGTCCTGGGAATCTGTGTGGTCCTGTAAGTAATTAGTAAACATGACCTCACTGCCTTCCTCACAGCTGTGGCCTGTAAGCACTGGGCACTGGCTGGAGCAGCTGGGCCCAGGCTTTCCTGCACATTCTCTTTTCTTCAGGTGGTGTGACTTTCTCTGTTCTATACTTGGGTGTGATTTTATAATTCCTTTCTCTGGAAAGCCCAGCTGGAGTTAAAAATATTCTTCTCTAAAGGCTTCATTTTTTTTTTTACTACCCAAACTGTATTCATTACTGGTTAAAAAGATGCATGTCTACAAAATTTAAATTCTGTAGGTTAGGAAATCTTAATTTGTGACTTACAATTGGTGTAAATTGAAGTAGCTCTCATTTTCCTTATTACGGTCTTGAGCTATGGATGAATACAAATAACCTTTATGCAGAGATATAGATAGTTTTTTTTTTTCTTATTTGGAGATTAGTAGAAAATATTTTAAAGTAAACTTTCTTGAAAAGAAAATATTTTAAAGTAAACTTTCTTGAATTTTTTAATTTACTTTTTATTTTCCTAGTTTTTGATTGAATTCTCTTAGCTTATAGGTGTTTCAGCAAATCCTTATTTATGTTATTGTAAATATGCAGCATGCCAAAGAAGTGTTGACATTTGAAAGTCTACTTGTTCTCTTTTAGTAAAACAATTTGAAAAAATGAGTTCGTGTTGAAAGATGAGCATGAGAAACATACCCCATGTAGCAGTGATCACACAACCACATGTGCTAGGAAGAATAAACATAAACAGGCAGACAGTTGCCATAACTGTGAGAAAGCTGACAGATGTGTTCATACTTTTCTTTCTAGTCATGGTAACTTTCAGGTAGATTTTACTGCCCTCTGCTGGATGGGATCAAGTCTCTTCAAAATTGTCTCCAAACTAACCCGAGATTTAGTTACCAGCACCCAGTCTTTTAGAGTTGAGATGCTTGTGTTTGTCTCACTTATGTTATACGTAAGTACATTTAATTATATGTAACCGAATGATATTTTCAAAGTGCACGCTAAGAATTACTACCCTGACTTTTAATAAGCTTTAGACATGCATTCATTCAATTATCCAAATTCCTTAGTACTTACTGAAAAAAATACTAATTTGAAGTTTATTAATAATGTCTTAAACATACTCTTAAAAGTCAAGAGTTACTACTGTTACATAGTAGGTAAGCTGGTAGGTATTTCTGCTGATAAACATAAGTTTCCCCCATATTATTCTTTAGGTAGGCGAAAACACTTTAAAATTATTTAAAATCAAATTAATTAATAATAGTACTAATGCAGACTGTAGCATACAGAATTACTTCCATATACTGGCTGGCCTATTATGGAACCAGTATTTCTTGCTTTTGCTAATAATAATTTTTGTTTAGTGAGTCATGTACAACATCGCTGATATTTGCCCCATGAACACGAGAGGCATTTGCTAGCGAGTCGGGGGATGTTGTTTTCCAAATCTAAATTTGGAATACCTATTCTTGATGAAGAATTTCTGAATAAAATGTGTTATTCATTAGTAGAGTATTCAGTGGTGTTTTTGAAATTGACAGAATTGGGTGAAATTAGAACAGCAAACGAGAAGCTCTGGCCATCACAACTCTGAAGAGAAACTTCAGCATCAATAAATCAGGGATTAGCTTGGCACTGGCACTCGCATTATAGCTGATTACTAAGAACTGAGTGTTTCGTATTTTGCTGCCAAACAGACCAAGGCATTGCCTTTAACTCCTTTCAATATTTTCCTCTTCTCCAACCTCAAACACTTAGCCAGGGAAGACACATTTAGGCTCCAGATTTAACACAATTCTGCTAAGGAAGCCGTTGACTCAGGCACTGAGAATCGATTTCTTACTAGGAAGGTGGGCGGCATGGAGGAGGGAGGCTGGGAAAGGCAGTTTGAGACTACAAAGGAAGGAGCTAAGCAGGGTGTTGCTTCCCATCCAGGGAAGCCCAAAGGGTCTGTTGGTCAGATCCCATGTAAAGGTGCTTCATCTCCCATTAATGTTTATGTGCTCACTTAACCACATTGGAGTCCACATCCAGAGCCCCAGGGAGCTCATCCTACATAGTGCTGTGAGGTTGTGGCCTGAAATGGGCCACATTCACTCTTTTCTACCTTGCTATTGTTGTTTGGGGCAAGGAACCCAATCCGCTTACCTAGCTGAAATCACTAACCTCCAGTGGAGAAATGAAGCGTGGCCTTACCAGTGTCACCCTCCACTACAATGCGCTCGTCCAGTCTGAGGTCACCTGCTGAGTGTCTCTTGACTGGCCTGGCTTTAGTCTTAGTTCTGCTCGGTCTGCTGGTTTGCTCTAGCGTGTTCCCCACACCTGTGACCTCTGTTTTTCCCACCTGATCTCCTGTCTGCAGTCCCTCTTCCCACTACTCTCCCTGTAAGGGACCATCTTCCTGTTTTTGACTGCTTAGGTCTGTATCCTCAGGGTTTCACACAGGCAGGACTGAGCGCATAGTTAATGATAGGTTATGAGACCCTTCGGTTAATAGAAAGTGGGCTGCTGGCCCACGAGCTTCAAAGGCTAAAAGTAGAAAACAGTTTCACTACTATATTTGTCTGTTCTGACATAGCTAGATTGGGATAACCCTCCCTCCCCAGATAGTCTTTTAATTACATATATCCTGTATTCTATAATGACCTTTACTTCTTCAAAGCAATTTTATATCCTTTATTCTCCTGGTTTGGGATCTTAGTATGTTTTGAACAAATCAAGAGACTTCTTATTACTCCTCACAGCTGAGCGAATCCAGGCAAATGAGATTAAGAGTCTTTGTCTCTGTAACTGTGACAACAGAGTTCTGTGCAAGCTAGAGAACAAATACTCTTTTTAAACTTCGTGTGTGTCTATAGCTCACTCTGCATCGTACATGGATACAGATGTACACACTACCATGTATGTATTATATGTGTACATAGATGCTTGTTCGAAAATACTTAACGAGAATGTAGCAGTCTGGAGAGGTGTTGTCTTTTGCCCCAGACAGCCATGTGCATGTTTTTCAGGCTCCTAAAAGGCTATGGTTCTAAAGGTTGTTTACTGCTTACTAATGAGAAAAGAAGACTTCTTGCGCTTAATTTACTTTGATAGATGCTTTTTCCAAGATCAGTCAAACCTGGCACAGTGTTCCATGTCTCTCTGAGTGGGGAGGAGGAAGATAAAGGGTATAATTAATTATAAGACCCAGGTAAGATTCCCACGCTTAAGGAGCTGTCCATCCACTGGGAATTACCTCAAGCCCAAGGCTGGCAAGGGTTCCTGACCCTGACTGCCACGTCCTGCTCTACTGGAGTTCTGCTGCCTCTCTTTGCAGAAGGGAGGAACGTGTTTGATGCTCTATATTAGGAACCACTGCGTCCTGTCTACTTGGCTACACCCATTTAGAACAATGGCCAGTGCATCTCTTCAACACAATCATCAGGCAATAGTTTGTCCCAGAAGAGACTTAGCACACAGTATGACTTGAAAGCTCTTTGTCATCACCCACACAGACTGGTGTGGTCTCAGGCACCAGGCCATGGCCGTGTGAAGACATGAGGAACGTGGAGCCAGTACAGGAAGCGTGTGCTCGCTGATGGCAGTGAAAACTTTGAGTCGGGCTAACCACAGGATAAACGGTTAGCTGGTCCAAGTTTCTCTCTGGCAACCTCCGCCTTGTTTTGTTAGTCCCCTCTGTTTTCATGGTGTCGTTTTCCCATGCTCTCATATTCCCTGAACGCCCGCCTGTTTTGCGGTCCTGAGGCTCTGGACCACACGAAACCTCCAGCCATCAAAAACAATTCTCATTTAGACTGGCAGGTTGAAATACCTCAGCGTGTTTAAGATTCGAGTTTAAGGAACTAAGATTGGTTCATTATGGCTGGTCATCCTCCCTCCCTCCTTCCCTTCTATGTATTTTGATAGGGAAAAATACTTTATGCAAAGCAAAAACTATCTATGACAAGGAGCTGATAAGAACACTTTTTGTTATACACTAAGCCCAGGAACTATCAGATGCCAGTGACTTAAGTTAACAAAGGTGTATTCTCATTCCAAGTCGAATTATCAGAATTCTCCAGATCCCAACACACTCACAAGCCAGGCTGGAGAGTTCCTACTTCCTGTGCTTGCTACACCAAAGGGAAGAGAGCTCCCTAGGGCTTCACCATGAGCCATCAGTGTGTGGGCTGGATGTGACCACTCTGAGGGACCCTGGAGAGACTGCTGTCACAAGTGTTCATTTTTTGTGTTAATTATTACATAGCACTGACGCAGCACAGATGGGAAATAATTGTTAATTTGACACTGTTTCCAGGTACTCTGATGTCTGTGGGAGTTACTTTGGGCTGATTAAGACTGAAAGAAATAACAAAGCCCATGAAGAAAAGCCCAAAGACCTCCAGACCCAATCAATCCATGTACCTCTGGGATGCTGTAAATAAGGAGAGTTGGAAGCCCTTTCACTGTATCAGTGAAGAGTAGAGTTCCAGGATGGCTCATTCATAGCCTAGTCAATTTCCTGGATATCATCTTCTGATGATTCATGAGCATAGATCCCTTTCTGCTGCTTAGCACACGTATTAGCTCACGCATTTGTGGATTACCTGAGGTGTGGGCAGTTCTGTGACACAAGCAGTTTTTGCAATCTTTGAGGATGAGTTTAAACAGTAGTATTTATGACAAGATAATCTTTTTTGTTTTTTTGGTGGTGGTGGTAGAATGGAAGTTCATTAAACTTGCATTTTAATAAGTGCAGCTATGTATATGGACAGGGCGGTGGGGTTGGGGATACCATAACAAGGCAAAACGGTGAGGTGTGATCTCCAAGCTGTTCTAACTGCACTCCAGTTCCCTGAGCATCTTCCCAGACCCATGCAGAGGGGTGCTGGGGTTGAGATGAGTGTCCCTGCCTACTGTGGTCTCCACAGACATGGCTGACAGTGAGAGTAACTCACCTTGTCAGTGTGTGTGTGTGTTTCTCGTGTTCGAATATATGGCAAGCATTTACATACAGCTTGGCCCTTAACTCTCCACTTCCACACTGTCTGACCCTCTGAGCCTGTGACCTACCTGGTCAAAAGCTGGAAGAAGAACAGACTATGGGGGTTCACTGTCAGGTGGTATATTTATCCCCAACATCACATACTTGTGATTGTGTGTTTTGCTAAAACCATCCCTGGGACCTAATGTCCCATGTGGAAAGAAATGCCACAACATGCTTGTTCTTCAGAAAGCTAGAAACCAGGTCGGGCAAGTGGTGGCAGACGCCTTTAATCCCAGCACTCAGGAGGCAGAGGCAGGTGGATCTCTGAGTTCAAGCCCAGCCTGGTCTATAGAGTGAGTTCCAGGACAGCCAGGGCTACACAGAGAAACCCTGTCCTGGGAAACCAAAGTGAGGAGGGTGGGGGAGAAGAAGAAGAAAGAAAGCTAGAAACCAGTCCTGGAGAGGGCCTCACTTTCTACAGTTTCTGTGTGTTCGAGTCACTTTGCTCCTTCGGCTGATTCCCTATGTGGGTCTGGAATCCCATAGAAGCCTGTATGCATACATACTGAGAGAAGACCTGGTCTCTCCCGTGCCTGTGTGCGCAGGCATCCTGACAGTTGTTCTCCATCTTTCCTCTAGAGTGCCTACCGCATGTTTACAAACAACACGTGTCTGAAGCACATGATCACCAAAGTCCGGCGGGACACCCACCACTTTGAACGCTATCAGCATAACAGGGACCTCGTGGGATTCCTGAACATGTTTGCGAACAAACAGCTGGAACTGCCGAGGGGCTGGGAGATGAAACATGATCATCAGGGCAAGGTAACCTGACGGAGCTACCCTAGTGAGCAGCTGAGCGGCTGTGGCTGCTCTTACGGCCTCCCTCTACCTTTGCCGTGAGGGCAAACATTCTGTCTCTTCGTTCAACACAAACCTGCACAGGCAGCTTGTTGCTACAGTCTCCAGATACCATAATTTGGAAGTAGTATATGGCACCAAGAGGCATGGGTTTGGTGGAAGCCATGTTTCCCTGAACATTCTTCTGTCTGTGCTCTGTTACCACTTTCCCCTGACTAGAGAAAAGAACTCGGAGACACTTGTTCTCCTGAGTGGTGTAACTTGTTGTAGACAGGAAGATAGGAAGTGGTCGTATTGCTTAGAGAGCGTATTAGGAATCACTGAGCCATTGTGCAAGACACTGGCCTCAGTTATAGTTTAGAACCCTGGCCTGTTTGCACCTTGAATGACTCCCTAGTTTATGATGAGAAGAAGCACATAAAGACCAGAGTGATGACATCTTCGCTTCCTGTGTAGACGGCGAACCAGAAAGCCCAGTTTTAATCAGGAAGTTGTACATGAGTGAGAAGTCACAATGAGCAGGTTGGGTTTGTTAGAAGGTATTCCCTGGTGAATGCTTTATTTCTATTTGACATTTGCTTGACACCCTCTGTGAACCATGATTTATAAATAGAGGCTTCTCACATCACAGTGAAGCACCATTGTTGGTACCACCCCTTAAAGGTAAGGAATTCTGGAGCCGAAATGGCTCAGCAACCTGCCCTACATCACCAAGTCAGGCTGGCTGAGCTGCTCTCTGAGTGAGACCATCGAGATCCATGAGGCTGTGACATTATATTTTCTAAATTTTGCATAACCAACCTCAGTTTCTCTGTCTGTATGAAGTATTGGTGTATAACATGTAAAAAGGAGGATTAAAATGGCATGATATTTAAAGTACATAGCCATTAGAGTCATTTTTGCCAAGCCAGTCTTTATTGAGCACCTATACAAAGCAGAGAAGCCTTTCACTTCAGAGGAATCCATTCGAAGAAAAGAGACAGGCAAGAGGCAGATAAATAAACTGTGTGTCAAGAGGGGATTAATACCACATTGTAGACTAAAGCAGAGGGCAGAGTTCGTGAAAAGATAGGAATGGGTGGTGTTTTAATAGGTGGTTGGGGAAGTCTCCGTGATAGAGAGGGAAGCATGAAGGACATGAGGTGAACTATACAAGGGAAGAGCGTTCAAGGCAAATGGAACACGTAAAGTGTGTAGTACATGCTGCTTTCCCTCTAGTTAGTTTGACCACTAACACCGTGGAAACCTTTCCTCTTCTCAAATTCAGCTCCCACAAATCTTATCAGAGAGCCCCTTGCAATCAAAGCAGCTGCTATCGAGAAATTTGTTTTAATGCGAGGAAGAACTCACAGATTCATTAAACTACTGACTTGTTAGACATCCCTGTAGAAATCAAGTCTCTCGCTTCCAAACAAGAGTTTAGTAGTGTGAAGCATGAATTTAGAGGAGAGGAAGAGGATGGACCCCAGGTTCAATGGCAGTGAGTCAAAATCATGACAGTGAGACTTTCCAGGCGACTAGGAAGACAGAAGCAGGGGCACCAGGGTGGATGTGAGATTGCTGCAGCTGCGACAACTTCAGTTGATGGAAAGGATGCTCAGCAACTACTTAGACTGACCAAGACCCCATCGTTAGGGCCAAGTGTGATGGCTCACGTCTGTAATCTCATCCCTGGCTAGGCTGAGCAGGATTGGCATGAGTTAGAGGCCAGCCTGGGCTACATGGTGAGTTCAAGACAAGCCTAGGATACATAGCAAGATAATGTCTCACAACAAAATGTAACATTTACTGAGCAATAGGCGTGGGTGTGCAATGTCCCCCTCCCCCCAGACCCACTGGTGAGCAGGTGGATGACTATCCTTTTGAATTGTTGTGCCCATAGCAAGGACTTGCCAGGGGGAGGTCCTCATCTGCCTCACGATACAGTTATTAACGTGTCCTTCCTTCTAGCTCCCCTAGCAGAAGATCCCCTCATGAGGTTTCTTCTATTTGTGTCTGAGTCACGCACCTATATCCCAGTGCACGCACGAAGAAACTTCTCAAAACAAGTGAATGAATGAAACATCACCTGTGGTTTCCTACAGTCATCTTCACTTTGAATGAAGCAAGAAGCTTCCAGGCTCTCTCCCTATGCCCACCCCTCCATCTGCTCTCTTACTAGCTAGAGCTCTTTCTATTGGCTCATCATTTCCCCCTTTATTTTGTATTTTATGTGTATGGTTATTTTGCCTCAGTTATCTCTACACCATGTGCATGAACTGCCCTTAGAGGTGAGAAGAGGGCCTCGGATCCCCTGGGATTGGAGTTGTTGAGAGTTGTGAGCTACCATGTGGGTGCTGGGAATTGAACCTGGGTCCTCTGGAAGAGCAGCCAGTGCTCTTCACCTCTGAGCCATCTCTCAAGCCTTTCATCTGAGCTGTTTTTAATTAATTCATAGCTTGTCTTGGATTGCTTACATTACACGTTTGTGATGTGTGCTTTAGATGTTTTTAATTTTGGAAGAGATTTTCCTTTTGGGGTGGATGATTTTTAATTAGATGACTGTGAGCTTTCACAGGAACATAGATTCAGTTTGCTTTGGGAGTTATAAGGTGAAAATGATTTTAAAGTCACACAGATGGAGGGACTAGCATAGCACATTCATTTGAGATGAACAGGGCCGGAGAGATGCCTCAGTGGTGAAGAGCACTTGTTGCTCTTGCAGAGGACCTGTGTTTCGTTCCCAGCACCCATTGAAGTTTGCAACACCATAGCCCCAGTTCCAGGGGAATTCAACGCTCTCTTCTTACCTCCTCAGGTACCAGACTAATGCATGGTACGCATACATACATACATGCAGGCAAAACACTCACATACATAAAATAAAATAAACAAATCAATAAATAATTTTAAAGATTAATAATCAAAGAGTAAGAATATCACATTAAATTTTGCACTTGGTGTGGGGAGAATGTAGAGGAGTTGGAGCCCTCAGATACTGCTGGTAGATGCATAAAATGATCCATCAGCTTTGGAAGTAGACTGGGAATTTCTGAAAATATTAAGCAAGTAGCTGTCATGTACTCTGACAGTTCTATATATATACCCAAGAGAAATATGCACCCAACATAAAATCATGCATTTGAATGTTCATAGCTGTATTACTTATAAACCAGAAGTTAGATATAAGCCAAATGTGTATCAATAAATAAATAAAATTTGGTGAAAATTCCCATTTTAAAGCTCTTAGGTTGTATAGGTTTCTGCTTCCTTGACCTCTGAGGTTAGGTTACATGGTTCTAAACTGATTTAATATCAATTATGTAGTGGTCTTGGTTTTTTTTTTAAATACTTTAATCAAATATAGAGTACCTGGTTTACACACAACAGAAATTTGTTCCTCACAGTTCTGGAGGCCGAGATGCTCAGGGTCAAGGTACTGGCAGGTCTTGTGTGTCCAGGGAGGCCTGCATTCTTCTAAGTGGTAAAAGTCATAGGTAGCTCTCTGGGGGCTTCTTTGAACAAGTACTGATCCCATTCATGAGGGTCCCGCTCTTATTGACTAATCCCCTTCCAAAGATGCTGTTTCCTCTGCCATCATTTCCGGGAAGTGCAGGTGGGGCGTGGGGGAACACTATAAACTAGAGTGCTAATGCTTTTCTTCCTGATCTTGATTTCATCTGGAGAGGTCTCTTGTTCAAAATTCCATTATGGTATTTCTTTTAGTTGTACTTCATTCTGTTATTTCCATAATGATTTGAATTCCATAACTTTGAAGCTGACAGTTAATCCAGGCTTAGTTTTATACACAATTGACCTTTCAAGACTCTGTGATCAATTTCTCTATACATCTTTTGAATTTAGGACCCAGGATTTCCCCCTAGCACACAAACCTATTCTCCCCCCAATCCACACTCTGGGCATTAAACCAGGGTCTTGTACATGTTAGGCAAACACTCTGTGACTGAGTGCCTGTATCTACTTCTAGTTCTTTTTCTAATTTTTGAGACAAGGTCTCAAAAAGTTGATCAAGCTGACCTTGAGCTCACCCTTAGTCCAGTTAGGCCTTGACTTTGGGGTCTTCCTGCTTTAGGCTCCCAAGTGCTGGGTATCCAAGAATGTGCCGTGGTCCCCAGTGCAAAGATCTCATTTTGAAGGAATCACAAACAAAGAAAAAGAATTATTATTAAAACACTTTTTTCTTGCTTCTTATAATAATAGTTTTTAAACTTTGGCACACTCAGGAATATTAAAAACAAGGGTAATTTGAGATCTGAGTAGCAGTGCTGATAAAAGTTTTATTATTTATGTGAGAAGAGATATTCATCAAATAGTATTAAAATGTGACTTATTTAAAATATCTCTGGTTCTTGGCTGAGTTTAGTAATTAGTGAGAGCTCATGGTGATAGCAGCTAGAAAACAAAAATGTACCTTTGTAGGGAGAGCTACTGATTTTAAATGCCTTAGCTTTTTTTCTCTCTGGGTTTTTTTTTTCTTTTGCTTTGTTTTGGGTTTGCAGTGGTTAATTTGATGGATTTGAGAAAATTATATCGAATTGGGAAGATTCTTGGATCCATAGCTTCTTGGCATGACCTCAGTGAGCCTGGCTTCTCTTTAATGTGAGCATTTGTACCCATGCTGTCCTGCTTTAAGAGCTGTGGTTAGCACCAAATCCCACTCCTGGTTAGATGGTAAGGCTTACAACTCATCCAGAATGTGATTATTAGTCAAGTTTCAGCATAGAAACTCATGTCTGTATGTTCATAAGCCTTTAGAAGTGATTTCATTTGGGGGCAGCCGTGATAGGAAACACACAGACATCTGCACAATGAGCTGGTGGCTGCGGCTGGTTCCTGTTCCCCCTCAAACCTGGTGCAGATCTGGACAGAGCAGGGATCTCAGTATAGTGTAAGTGTAGAGACTGATATATTTGGGATTTGTGAAAACGATGATTTACTCATAAATGAGTCCTTACTTGATCAGT